GCAGCAACTTCGACGATACGAGGACCACGAGAGAGATGGTCCGCCTTGGCGTTGCTGGAGTTCGGTCGCATCATTGGTATTCCGGTGAGAGCGGTGGAAAGGCGACCAAAGGCGACCAAAGAGCGCACTCGCACTCCCCAAAGAGGGTGCGAGAGGGCGGGGACGGCGGGAAGAGGAACGGTGATAGTTACCGTACTTCCTGGAGGACTGAGATCAAGAGGTCAGAACAGGACCAATTAAAATGCTGACGACACACGTCATTGAAAAAGTCTGGCGAAAGGTCATCACCTTCTGCCTGCGTAGCATCCGCCTACATGGAAAACTAAGGTTATAACCACTGGGAAGGTCAGAAACAAATCACGTACGTCCATTAATGACTCTTGAGTTGCAACCTGCGAGCGGGAGATTATCATAGTTTTGACTGAAGAAACATGAACTTTACATCAGAAAGGTTGGAGGAGGTCTTCAAGGCTTGCATCTTTGAGAATGGCGCAAATGTCCATGTGTACGCGTTTTTGTTTTCGCAACCAGTGACTAACAGCTTTCCATCAGCGGAAAAGGCTGCACACCACAATGCATCTTCGTTGTTGAAAGAGCGGTCCAATTGGGAGGTCGGTGTCTAGATTCCATAGACGCGCCGTGTTGCCATATGATGCACTTGCAAGGAGGCGGTTGTTCTGAGACAAGGTGATGGCGTTGATATGGGTTGTGTGACCCTCCAGGATAGCGACCTCCTCCCAAGTGGTTGTGTTGAATATCCTAATCGGGCCATATGAACCGGAGATAAGTTTCTTTCCGTCCGACGTCCATGCCAAGCTCCAAACAGGATGATTGTGTTTGAGCGTGCTCAACAGTTCAACTGGCTTGGTGTTCCAGATTTTGACTGCATCCTCGTTGCGTCCGCCCATTGCGATTTTTGTTGCATCGGGTGAGTATATCACCGTGTTCACCCACTGGTGCCCGGTTTCGATCGTCAGGACAGTTTCGCCGCTCATGACATCCCAGACTCTTGCCGTTCCATCCCAGGATCCGCTCGTAACTCGACTACCATCTGCACTCCAGCACAATGCACCCACAAGATCGGTATGTCCTGTCCATTTCGCGATGACCTCCCTCGTCTCGACGTTCCACAACCTCACTTTTCCGTCATCGCATCCACTTGCAACTGTATACCATTTGGAGACAATGCCATGGACCGCACTCCTGCCTCATCCTCCTCGTCTTGCCAGTCCTCTCCTATCTGTGTACCACTCTCTAAGTCCCATAGTCGGAGTGAGCCATCCGTCGAACATGTGATGATGTGACATCCACCGTGCAGATGCACAACATCATTTACCCAGTTGGAGTGACCTTGCATTTTCTGACGTGGCGTGATTGCTGGCGTTTCACTGGTGAAGGAAGACATGACCGGTGCTCGGTATCTCAACTACAGCAGATTGGGGACTATGTATGCGAGAGAGGCGGGATCCGGGAACAGCAATAATTGCTGGTGAGTTTAGGAACCTGTCTTTTTCATCTCAGCTCTTGTCAGAGCACACAAGCCATTGCTAACAGGATTCATCCCTTACCTAGAAGCTAACTTCGGGACTGTTATGGAGGAGGTGCTGCGCCGTTATTTGAGAAATTAGAATGTGCAAGAGATTTTTATGTGGGTTGCTGGTAAGCATGTCGTCAGTTGTATCCTGCAAAAAGCCCAGAATGTCACTTACGAGTGACACCGTTTAGACGAACCCTCAATCACCAGCGATCACTGAGAGGTGTGTGGTTGGTAGTTGAGGAAGTTGGGCATCCGTTCATTCAAGCATCTTTCAAGGTGCGTCCCATGCGTCATCCTCGTGTTCACTTCACAACTTAATGCTGTGTAGATCAAGCGCTCAGGTCTGACCGGTGCTATGTCCATCTTCCTATACGTCAGAACTACGTTTGATAGTTATAGCCAACATTCGACGCGGTGTTGCACTCCCACCCATTGCACGTTTCATCCAGACTACCCCTGAACTTGATGTCATCAACTCTTCCAACACGTTTGCAGGTTATGGAACAGCGCCTATTTCTAGGGTGGACTTTCGTTTTCCAAGGAGGTACCCGTTGGCATCGAACAGTCGATAGGATGTATCATGGGTGTTACCACTATACTCTCGTCTCAAATATCAGACGTCTACATCCTCAGATTTCGTATCGCACGACCTGAGTGTCGACACGGTCTTTGAGGGACGTCAATGTGATCCATCGAATCTACCATCGTATCAACTAGAACTTATCTTGCGGAAATGGTCTCCTATAGACGGGAGCCGCGAGTTCAGGTGTTTCGTTTGCGAAGGTTCAATCCTTGCTCAAGTAAGACGATGACGACGACGCTTGTACCATGCAGGCAACACGAATTCCTACAGCTTCATGAAGGAGCCAAAAACACAAGTACGCTTCAGCATTTTTGGAAGGAAAAGACCAAGTCCAAATAGAAACACGACTGTATTTATGTATCGCACTGTCTGTCGTGATTCCTACGCTCATCTCACGTATGAAGACATTTTTGATGCGTTGATGACGTGTGATCTGCTCGGGGACACGTCCTCGACCTCGACCCATATGCATCCTGAACCGACTCCCTCCCATTCACCTACTAAGAGCTCTTAGCAGTCTTCACGCGGGGATTTAGTTCACCGTACTGCAGTGTTATTTTTTTTATCAGCGTTTATTGTCCGTTGGGGCGACGCCCTATGGTAGACAAAACATACAAGTATTTACTTATGAAGCTCTGTGTTTCTATGGCTCGTTTGGTGTGCGTTCATTAGTCCAGGCAAAATGTGAGGATGGGTAAGGCCAGCTAAAGGCGACAGGGTTAGGATTGTGTGCATTCATTCTTCTCGTCGTCTGCATGTGGCGTGACGTCACCGAAATCTGTTCCATTTTGTGCGTGCTCTCTTGCTACATTGGGCGAGTATGAAGTGATGGAAGGTTTCCTCGCGTCGGTGACATTGCTGGCACGTGGGGCTGGGTACTTTCGTGATGGAGTGCAGGTGCTTGTTCAGTGGCGTGCAGTGTTAATGATGGGAGGGAGATATACTGCACAAAAGGACGAAACGAACTCGCAATGTAAGAAGTCGTGGCTGCGTGGTTGCTGTTCTTGGCATGACAGTACTCGTAGCAGGAGCAGGAGGTGTCGTGGACATCGATGTAGCAGTAGACCGAGTTTGGAATGATGACGCCTGGACATGAGCTTGTCCTGGTGATTGGCCTTGTTGCTGCTGTGTTTATTTTGCAGGTAGAGGAGAGCACAGCAGAGAAAAGTATGGCATGGTCCGCCATTGGATGGGTCCTGACTGCGCAGGTATTGCACCTGTATGGTAGTACCTCTGGCATCAGGCTGAGTGTGTGAACGTTCTCGTTCCGGCCGCGGAGTAACAGCCAGTAACTGCAGAAAAATCACTGACCCACGTTGATCAGAAACGCACGCGAAGAAAGCCATACCTTTTTGTTACGTTCCAGTGCAACTACTCTAACAACATGAGGACCATGAGGAGAAAAAATACTTCGCCTTGGCTGTCACCGGAGCTCGGTTGCTTCATTGGTGTTAGGGTGAGAGCGGCCGAGGACAATTGGACTCGGACCCTCCGAAGAAGGTGTGTAAGCACAGTATGCGGCATCACTTCTGGTGTTCTTCCGAGGCATGTTGCATAATCAATGGCAGTTGACGGTTTAGAATGGTCGTGATGTGCCAGGATGTTGGCTAAAACAGTCGACCCTCCTACTGCCGCTCACCCAGAAAGGAACTTCGCTTCTGGGTACATCCTGCTGATCGGCCATGTGCGGGTAGGTCGACCGGTTGGTGCTGGTCAGCTGCCAGCTCTCCCCCAACATGTGTTTAAAACCCTTATCAACTTGCCGTAACCTTTTAAAAGCAAGAATCAGATCGAGCAGGTCCCTTTTGGTATTAGCCTCTCGGACTCTTCCGTTCGTTCATGTCAGAGCTTCCTGCTAAACTCCCCTACCTGTTGTTCTACAGTCTACATGGCAGATGAGCCGACCGTCGCGACTCGTAGCTATCACCCAATATAGAGCACTCTCCACCGAGTATCAAAGGATAATTTGTTATCTATATTACCACATCCAGTCAGTCACATCCATCGAACACAATTCTCGTATCATATTCTGGTCAGTGAAACAATTGCTCTCCGAACTACGGTTCTAACTCACATGCATTCTCGTAGAAGGAGAAGGTCAGTGGTGCGATGCTGTTCCATCAGCTTTCCTCCATCCTCAGGATGTTCAGCGTCCTAGGTATCTAAGGCCGTCATGTGGCTGTTATATCAACATACCCCCATGTATCCTCTATATGAGAACTCACACCATGTAAAATAGAAACACTGAGTAAGACTCAGCTGGCTATTACACATAGTGTGAATACTCGGAATTTTGTATCACCCTTTCTCGCCTGGTGAAGACGTGCAAGAACACGATGCATACTTTATTACCGCAGTCATGGTATCTGCGATAACTCGTAGAGGTTTTTACTGCCTGCTTCGTCTACGCCAATATCATGCGACACATTAAATTTTTTTTGCGAGAATCATGGCTCACAAACCTGGTGTTCGATCGGCATTGATCAGTGAGTGTCTGGTTTGGAATTGAAGAAGTTCATGTTCGTAAGGAACATTGTCCACGTGTTGTAGCGTTAATGACCAACGATATGCGATGGAAATACACAGCGAAGAAAAAGCACGAAACGGGTCCGTAATGGAGGGGGTCGTGACTATTCAGTTGCTGCACCTGGCGTGGAACTAGTAGCGCAATGATGACGCCTGGGTCGGTACTCGGCCTTGGGATAGGCTTGCTGGTGCTGCTGTGTTGGTTTCGCCGGTGGATGAGAAGTACAAGAAAAAGTACGACATGAGGGATGGGTTGTGACTGCGCAGGTGTTGCACCTGGTATGGTAGTACTAGCAGGCTGAGTGTGTGAACGTTCTTGTTCCGGCCGCGAAGCAACAGCCAATGCAGGGGCATCATTGATGATCGGAACGTACACGAGAAAAACATACCTATTTTGTCTCGAGCTGCAGTTACTCCAACAACATGAGGACCATGAGGTGAAAAGATACTTCGCCTTGGGCGCAACTGGAGTTCGGTTGCCTGGTTGGTGTTGGAGTGAGTGACAAAAAAGCGACGAAAGGCGACCGAGGAAGGCAACTGGACGCCCCGAAGGTGTGCGAGCACCGCGATGGTGATGTTCAGAGGAATGGTGATGAATAGCGTGCGTAAGCTAAGGACTGGGTACAGAGGTGAGAACAAGAGACATTCAAAATGCTGATGACTCACATAGACACTGTCTCGCGCGCCATCGAAGAAGCCCGGTGGTAGTCAATGGGCTTCCCTGAGCTTGGCTGGATGTTGCGCTATACGATCACTCTAGCATATTGATGTTGAAAGGATCGAAAAGTTTAAGAAACATGTCACGTACATTTATCATTTCATGAGCTCTGGAACCTCGGACAGTAAGCCTTCAAGCTTCAAGCCCAGCTTCTGTTGGGATGGCATGAATGTCCCAACAGGTGCAGGTTTTGGTCGCTGCAACCAATAGCACGACTTAGAAGTATAAAAAAAACGGCAAATACCGAGAACGGCTCAGTGACAGGACTTGTGCAATCACTGACACTACTACTAGTTGTCGCATGCTAGCATCGCCGTAATCGAGTCAAATGCCGAGTCATTTTGATCAATTGGTCAATTATGGTCATGAAAGGTTCTACAGTCACTGCTTTTCCAGCGCTTACGGCTCTCTGCTGCATTATCCTTCGGTATTGCGCAACTTGTTCTGTCGAGTATGTTTAACACAGAGAACCTCATCCTCCGCGGATTCCAAGACAATGATCTAGAGGGAATCCTTGCTCTGCGGAACGACCCCCCTCGTCCAACGCACTCAGACATTCTCAGCTATCGCGCCTCCACCATCCTCAAAGTACAAGGAGTATATGAAGACCTTTGCCGAGGGCTCAGCGCTCTGGTTTTCTTTGGTACACAAGGAGTCAGAGAATTTTATCGGTTTCTGTTGCATCAATTTATTGGAGGCGAAGAACCGGGACGCACGCTTGGGTATAACCATCGCCTCTGGGTTCTGGGGGAAGGGATATGGAACGGAAGCCACGCGCTTCACTGTAAACTATGCGTTCAAATATTTCGGATTGCAACGTATCTCTTTGGATGTTACGGAAGGTAATGCCAGAGCACGAGCGATTTATGCCAAATTGTGAGTGGCTAATAAATTTATGATGCGGGCACGTTTTATGACTTTTTTCCCCAGAGGTTTTAAGGTGGAGGGAAGGAAACGACGGGGGAATTGGGTAGATGGACATTGGGAGGATATTATCTATATGGGGGTTCTAGATGATGAATGGGCGGAGCTGTATCCTGACAGTTGCCAGCTGAGTACTGATTGAGACTAATACCAGAATTTGCTCGCACTTGTGAGATCTGCATCTTGCGACAGAGTCGTTAAATTCCGGTCAGACTCAATATTGGCTGTTCCCGACCATGAGGAAACAGAGGAATCGATTGGATTGAGAAAACCAGGAGGAGAGAAGCGGGATTCCGAGTCTTTTTAAGCTTTAAGAGATCCTTGCAATTGGTCGATATCGATGGGGCCAGGCCAATCGATCACACGGTAATGACGTCAGAGGCCTATCTAGAATCTCTTTAGACCGGCCCTGCTGGGCCTTGCCAGGGGCTATACTATATATGTCTTCGCCGTCGTGCGCCTAACGGGACAAGACATATGTGTATGTCATTGTATGACGTTGTTCCCGTATAAAAACCGTGACGGTATCTCTCAATTCACTGCCCCCTTTCTCCTGAGACTCGCAATCTAACCACAACCATGGACACTGCAGCCAAGCAACTCCAGGCTGAAGTCGGTCGACTTCAGCACGAGCTTCAAACCTTGAAAGCACAACATCATAGCGAAGACGATGAGCTTATCACCATCTCTGAGTACATTTTGAAGAGATTGGAACAGCTCAACGTGAAGGTATGCATCCCCTTCAGTCATGTTCATTGAACTCACCCACTTGTTGCCCACAGTCCATTTTTGGAGTACCTGGGGATTTCAACATGCGTATGGTTCCATTAATCATCGACAACTTTGTATACTGACGATCTTGTGTAGCTTTCCTGGTAAATTATTGCGCATATGAACAGCGCAGCTAGCACTGATGTTCCATACTTCAATCCTTAGGACTACATTGAAGACCATCCTACAATTGAATGGATTGGGACCTGGTAATCAGTTCATCATGTCGGCGACACTCTATCTTACACCATTATAGCAACGAGTTGAACGCAGCTTACGCAGCTGATGGATACGCCCGTGTCAAAGAACACAGCATAGGCGTGGTTGTGACAACGTATGTTTGGTAGTCGGTAAGCATTATCTACCAGTGACCTCAACGATTTACAGGTTCGGCGTTGGCGAATTGAGTGCTATCAACGGAGTTGCAGGCGGTGATTGTTACTCGTCGTTCTTGCGAGGGATAACTCACAGATCAATCAGCGTTCTCTGAAATGGTCCCTGTTCTTCATATCGTCGGAGTGCCTAGCACTACGCAGTTGAAGAATAAGCCCATGCTCCACCACACACTTGGCAATGGAAAGTATGTATTTCTCCTCTTTGTTGATCCAGTATCTTACATTCGTCAGATTCGATGTATACACGAAAGCTGCGGAAAATGTCACCATTGCACAGGCTATACTTATGAATAAAACACAAGCTGCAGCCGAAATTGATCGAATCCTCACGGTGTGCATTACTAATGTAAGTCCTGATTGACTGCCTCCATCCATTCAAGCAGTGAATGTCTCGCAGGCTCGCCCCGTTTACCTCACCATTCCGATGGACCTCACCTCCGAAAAAATCCCTGCGAAACGCTTGAAGGTCGAGCTTTCACGAGCCCCTCCTCCTAATGACCCCGACGTTGAGAGCTATGTTCTCGACGAGATCATGGAGCTCGTGGATGATGCTAAACAGGACATCGTTGTTCTTGTCGATGCTTGCGCTATTCGTCACGACTTGCGCCAGGAAGTCAACGACCTTCTCGTGAAAACACGGTTTCCTGTATACGCAGCACCCATGGGAAAGACGGCAGTGAGCGAGGAGCATGAACGATATGGCGGTGTGAGTTTTCATCCCTGTTTTTTTTGCTCAAGACCGTTCTGACGCTTCTGTAGATTTATATCGGTTCGGTCACGGATCCGTCCATCAAGGAGAGGGTCGAAAACGCAAACCTTATCCTCTCGATTGGCGCGTTGAAGTCAGATTTTAATACGGGAATGTTCACGTACCATATTCCTGCGACGCACACAATCGAGGTAATTTTCCATGACATGCCAGTTTTCGACGCTTAGGTGATTTTTGCAGCTTCACTCCGACCACACACTTGTTCGCCACGCAAAATTCCCGGGTATAGGAATGAAGTCGCTCCTCCCGAAGCTCACGGAGAGGCTGAGTAAATATCAGGAGGTTGCATCACGAATCCCTGTTCCGCATTATAGGCTAGATGTTCCAAAGGAAAGTGACGACAAGATTTCGCATGCCTATTTCTGGCCTCGGGTGGGCAAATTCTTCCGGAAGCAGGATATCATCGTTGCTGAGACGGGTGAGTCGAAACTCATCTATTGTCCTTCAAAATGTAGAGTGAACCATACTTCTAGGCACTTCAAACTTTGGAGTTTTGGACGTTCCAATGCCTGACGAGTCCGTTTTCGTCAGCCAAATCTTGTATGGAAGCATTGGATGGGCAACCGGTAAATATATTGAAGTTTCTCTACTGGACCTGTATCTGACGGAAATGACTGTAGCCAGCACACTTGGTGCAGCGCTCGCAGCCCGCGACAAACATCTTGGGCGCACCATATTATTCACTGGTGATGGTAGCATGTGCGTAGTCCATCCATTGTGCTTGAATTTTAGTTGAATATTTCATGTGGTAGGCAACTGACTGTGCAAGAGATTTCAACCATGACCCGTCACAAGTTGACGCCAACAATCTTCGTGCTGAATAATAAGGGCTACAACATCGAGAGGCACTTGCACGGCCTAAATAGGTGAGTGTTCACTAATAAGACAGACCACTTCATGACAACTCACGAATTATTGCAGGAAGTACAACGACATTGCGGACTGGTAGGATACGTGTCACTCTCTTGATTTGTGTTTTGCTCAAATATTCCCTCAGGAAATGGACTTCGCTCCTCACTACTCTCGGTGATATGGAGGGCAAGATGTCAAAGTCGTACACGGTCCGCAGCAAGTCAGAGCTCAACAAGCTTCTCGACGATGAAGAATTCGCCAGTGCGGGGAAGATACAGTTGGTCGAAGTTATCATGGACAAGTACGACACACCCCGTGCGTTGCAAGCAGCTGCGGACTTGACTGCGAAGATCGCGGCGGGGCAAGCACTCTGAATCATTATCAAAAGTCTTTTGTGTATTCAAACTGTATAATTACTGTAATATTACAATGAAAACGACTCCGCTTTGTGTCATTGATCATCGTATTGTGGCCAGAAACACGAGGAAAATGCGAACAGATTCTACACACTTGGTGGTTCGAACCGACACTGTGGGTGTTCCACTGTTCCTCACCCAGTTCGTACATTTCAACCTGACACGTGACTGACGCGTTCCAGGCAATTGGCGCGTCAACCACCAGCAACCATCTGTTCTAATCCGAATCAACCTATTATCCACAATCCGCATCAACCCACCGTCCACAATATTAGTATTGTACTGCTTCAATACCCACATTAGATTCTGCCATAAAACCGCCATTTTAATTTCACTGTTGGTCACTCGTCACTTCAACCCTGCTACCAATAGCACCTCCATAACTTAGGACCAGTGGTCAGCCGGTATAATGGCACACAACTCGGATACTATTCCTCGTAAAATGGGCAACTACTGGTTAGAAGACCGACTTGGGTCAGGCTATTCGGTACGTATTGCGCCCACTCAACACTATTCCTCACCTAAGCCATATCATCCCAGGCTCTATCTTCAAGGCATATCACATTCACGATGGCACTTTCGTTGCGCTCAAAGTACAAGACGTCGACCACGAGTGCCCAACAAATCGCTATGAGCAAGCCATCTATCCTCTACTGCAAGGAGGAGAGGGCATGCCTCGGTTATGGGCGAGCGGTATAGAGGGAAAGTGGCATTATCTGGTCATAAGTCTCCTCGGAAAGAGTCTGGAGAGTATCTACCGACAAAATCTGCAATGGGGGAACCCGAGGATGGATCTTCGCAGTGTATGCTCTATCGCGATCCAGGTGGTGAGTTTGCTCGCTGGTTTCAGATCGATAGCATAACCTTGACATCGATTGAATATGCAGATCGCACGCTTGCAGATCATGCACAACCGTGAAGTTCTGCATCGCGATATACAGCTTGGGAATTGTGCTATCGGATTGACACCTGAAAAAGAAACCATCTATATGATCGACTTTGGGTTTTCTAAACGCTATATCGATCCGCACACGCGGCGGCATATTCCAGACTCAAAGCAGAAGAGAGATTTCTTGGGCAACTACTGGTTTACGTCTGTTAACGTGCATTGTAAAGGCAAAGGTCAGTATTGTAGGTTTATTTATGTGTTACGGCTACTTATTAAAACTGCCGCAGTACCATCTAGGCGAGATGATCTCGAGGCCGCCGCACTGATGTTCATACATCTTCTTACGCCTGGAGGACTCTCGTGGACACGGAACGGTATACCGAAAACCGACTCAGCGCATGATCGCATCAAGCGAGCGAAAAAGAGTGCTCGCCCTGAAGACCTGTGCAAGGGAATACCTTCTGAGTTCGAAGAGTTCCTGCGGTATTGCAGACGGCTGAAGTTCTTGACTGTCCTGATTACGACCACTGGAAGGACGAGTTCCAGGCTCTCGCACAGGACAGTGGCTTCACCGATATTGAGCGCTTTATCTGGCCACCACCGCCAGTTCCCAAGGTACGAGGGTTTGTCAGTGCACCTGAGTTTGTGTTTATTCAATTTTGTTTCAGGCTCAACCTCAAGTCGCACGGCCTGCTCCTACACGGCCCACGATTGATGCAGATGAGATGGAGAACGTCCTGAATGACTTGGCTAAGCTCCAGCTCAACCCGCCTCGCCCAATACTTGGGGACCAAACTAATGTCCCTGCCGCTGCGCGAAAAGATGATGCCAAAAAGCCGAGCGAAATCATATCCGTAAGCGACAGCTCCGAGGACGATAGATTGAAGCCAAATGGCCAACCCCTTCCACCCCGCACTCCCGTACGAACGAAGAAAGCCAGTCAGCTGCAGAAACTCAAGCTTTCGGTCCTTGATTCAACGGATAACGCTGCTCTTGCAGTTGCCGTGGAAGAGTTCACGAAATTCCTGCAACTGGGCTCAAGGACGCTCACTAAAGAGGGTTTCGCCTTCCTGGATGCGCTGTACAAACAGCTTGCAGACCCTTCGATATTCGTACACCCGCTTCGGACTTTACGAAGTGCTAATCGAGAGGACGATCGAGCCCCCCAACCAGCGCACGTGAAGTTGGGCGTGGTTGCGAGGCTTCGTCGAGAAGTAGGAACTGCATCGAGTAATAGGGTGCTTGCGAATCTCGTGGCTGATTTTGGCGCTATTACCAACAAGAGTAGTGGCAGGACTATCACCAAGGATGGGTTTGCGTTTTTGGAGGGACTAGCTGCGAGGCTACAGGCGTTAAATTAGAGTGCTGGAAGGGAGTACTTGCGTTTACCAGGCCCCCTTCATTAGTGAGACTGGAGTGTTCTAGCGGATTGTTATGCCTCACACGCACGGCCTTGTTGCCTGAAATCTCACACTCATGTCTTGGATTTTGACAATATATATATATACATAGCAATTTGCTCCTGCCCCATATCGCAACATGTTAATATGATTTCCGACAACTCATGAATGAGGCTTATAAACGTTTGTAAATACTTACATCCTCACCGGCCTCACCATGAACAGCGTGCATGATTCATGCAATGAAACTTGTAGTGTGTTTTCCGACTGAGATGTAACTTAACCACGTGTGCCCTCGGTTATCACCGGAGCAATTCTTTTACCCCAATAAATAGACTCGAACACTCTACCTCGCTTGCTTTCCTTTGTCTCTTTCTCCCTTCCTTTTTCTCTATAGAGGCTTGGATTAGATAGGAGTCCGCTACGACGACTTTAATCATGTCAGACGGATCAGAGAAAGGCATCACGACCGTAAAACAGAATGTTTGCGTTATACCCGACCTCACAATCAAGGACCTGTTGAGCGCTATCCCGTAAGTCTGCACGCGTTTTTTCAATGCATCCCCGGGCCAGACACTTATTACTGTTGGTTTTTTTTCAGCGCTCGCTGCTTCAAGCGTTCAGCGTTGCGGTCGTCACTATATATGTAGGTTAATGCTTGCCCAAGATAGCTGGCTCTGACGCGTTTCATGATGATTAGTGTTTACGACCTAGTGGTGATCTCGGGTATCTACAAGACCGCAACTTATCTAGACACCCTCATCTCCCCCGAACACGTTTCCCTCCCTCATCCCTTGCTCTATCCCGCTGCACGCTTGTCTCTTTGGGCGGGGTACACCTTCTGGACGGGTCTCTTTGCCACTGGTCTTTGGGTCATTGCTCACGAGTGCGGCCACCAAGCATTTTCCGAGTCCAAGTTGATCAACAATAGTGTTGGCTGGGTCCTGCATTCCGCGTGCGGTCTCAAATTTTATTTCATTCAGTCACGTGATTGACAATACCTTAATTATTTAGGCTTGGTGTACCATACCATTCGTGGAGGATCACACATGCGAAACATCATGCTTCAACTGCTCATATGACTCAGGATCAGGTCTTTGTCCCCAAGACACGTTCGCAACTCGGCTTGCCCGCATTCGACCCGACAAAAGAGGATATTCTTGGTTCGAGTGTTTCGGACGAAGTGATGAAGGAGCTGAAGGAGGCGCTGGGCGACTCTCCTATTGGCGCAACGATTGGCGCTGCTACATATTTGGTTAGGCAAATTGGATGAGATCTACGTGATTGCGACTAACGGTGTTTTTAGCTTGGCGGCTGGCCTGCATACCTTATCCGCAATGCATCTGGTCAGAAGCGTTACCCCCAAAGGCACCAACCGTGAGTAATGATTCGTATTGAAAAGAAAATAATTTAACAATTTGGTTTTGTAGACTTCAACCCTGATGCTGTGATGTTCGCGCCTCACCAGCGCGAGTCAATCGTTCTGTCTGATATCGGTATCGTGCTATGGCTCGCTGGTATCACCGGCTCCATCTATACATATGGGTTCTGGACCGTGTTCCGTCTTTACCTGGTGCCTTACCTCTGGGTCAACCACTGGCTTGTCCTCATCACGTTCCTCCAACATACCGACCCGCTTCTCCCCCACTACCGTGCCTCTGAGTTCACTTTCCCCCGTGGTGCTCTGTCTACTTTGGACCGCAACCTCCTTGGTGGCTGTGGCTCGATTATGGGTTGGATCGGTGCTTATGCTACCCACGGTATCTCCGAGACTCACGTCCTTCATCACGTCTCCAGCAAGATCCCTCACTACAACGCCTGGGAAGCTTCTGATGCTCTTCGTAAGCGCCTTGAGCAAGCAGGTATTAAGCTTGAGGGTGCTCCGGGCGGGTGGGGAGAAGTCTACAGGGTTTTCAAGGAGTGCAAAGTCAGTATACTTTTCATTCTGTCTGGTATATATTCTGAGACATCGTTTAGTTTGTTGAGGATGAGGGTAACATTCTTTTCTACAAGAATTCCTCTGGTCTCGCTGCCACTCGCCCTGCGTTCACTGATGGTAGCGCCAGTGACTCTGGTATTGAGATTGACAAGATCTAAAAGCGTAACCATGCGTTATAGAGATACTTGTAGATGGCCCGCTGGGCTATTTCCTATATTATGGTCCATAACATAGATGGTGTCGCGTATTTGGGACGAGGGGGGTCTGGCGGATTATTATTAGAGTCCTACGATTACGATAATTCTAATGGACGACAAAATGAATGAATTCGCTGGCCACGCTCATGGAGGTTGAATGTTATTCTGCGGTAGATTTGAGAACATGTTGGTGTCTCGACCGCTACAGAACGCGAGAATTTCGATTGGCAACATGTTTAGTGGGTTGGTGGGTTGCGTGCTGCGACTGGGTGATGATACGAAGCTCAGGTTTGACAAAATCCGTTCGGGGTAAGATCTGATGATGGCCACGTCTATTAATCGTCATCATTCATGGACTGCTGAATCTCTTTCTTCCACAAATCTGAGAAGTCGTTGATGTCCCGACCGCTACTCAGCGCGAGGGCTTCGATTGGCAACATGTTGTGCTGGTGAGCTGGTGCGTTGCGCGATGCGACCGGATGTAAAGGTGAGTCAATGATACGGAGCTCGGGTACGCTCAGCCCACGTGTGAAGACCGACAAGAGCTCTTCGTACGTGAATAGGAGGGGATCCGTCCGGGGTGCGTATGGGTTGAAGTCTAGGACATGTCCCCGAGACAGATCACGCGTCATCAACACATCAAAGACGTCTTCATAAGAGTGGTGAGTGCACGAACTACGAAAAAGACAACGTGATACATACAATCTTGTTGCCCGTGCCATTTGGACTTGATCTTTTCTTCCCACAAACGCTGAAGCGTCTCTACGATCTTGTTTTGTGTTTGGGACTCGTTCATGAAGTCGTAGAAATTTGTATCGCGCTGTGATATCCCTGCACGAGCATCGTCGTGGCTTTCCAGAGTGAGAATTAGAAAACAGAACGTACCTATGAGACGGCCTTCACGGACGAAACACCTGAACTCGCGGCTCCTATCCATAGGATACCATTTCCGCAAGACAAGCTCGAGTTGATACGATGGTGGATTCGAGGGATCGTATTGACATCCCTCAAACACCGTGTCGATACTTAGATCGTGCGATATGAAGTCTGAGGATTTGAGTAGGATGTAGACATCTGATGGAGATGTGCATTTAAGAGGCGAGGATGGTGGTAGCACCCATGATGCATCCTGTCAACTGTTTGATGCGAACAAGGATGTATGTGCAATGGGCTGACCTTTGGTGAAGAAAAATTGAGCTTAGGGAAGACTGCGCCGTATTCTTTGATGACTTGTCTTATCCGCTCATCTAGATCAGGGAAGGAGAAGATTCGTCCGACTGCGGCGTCATCCTCGTCGTCGTCCTCATCTTCTTGATCCGAAGGAGAGCTTTCTGCGGGACTGACGGTGGGATGTGAGTACAACTGAGACACGATGGTATAGCTAATCAACTGACGGGTTTTCCGAGCCTTCTGGTACGAAAATGCCGTCTGAGTCGAGGTATTCCTTGAATGCTTGATCCAAGGGACGGATGATGGTGCTTTTTATACCGATGGAGGAAAATGTTGGATACCACGATGAAAATTGGAAGGAAAGCAGATAATTTGGTGTTTGTAGAGGAAAGATGATGGGTGTGGTCATGATGATCGTATGAGTAGCCCCTGGGGCCATTCTTTTGTAAACCGTTACGTAAATAGCGAGCTTCATTTCAATTTCGTTTGCTGGCGCCATGAAACGGTTAACGAGAGCTACCAGCGCGGCGCTCTAAACGCGTGATCTACAGTGAACCTGGTTGTCTTACTTATAAGTGAAACATGGAGTCATAGTAGGATTGGGGAAGAATTCTAAGTAGAGAATGAATCGGCATAGACAGACGGAGTGATTTGATATAAGTTACCCATGTATCTTTCCGATTGCATAAGTGCCCTCTCTCAGGCTGATTCTCCATTCCTAGTGCCGGTATAATCAATAGATGAATGGTTCCACTGCAAATAAGAATGAGAATGTAGGTGATCATGCACGCATTCAGTGGCACTCACAGTCACAATCATCATCGGGATTGAAGCTTTCCATTGGCATGTAAGGATCTAAATGGCCAACACCATGATCTTGTAAAATATCTGCGCGGGCGTGAGAATCAATCCAACCGCCAAGGATGGAGTCTTCATCAAGATAACATCCAATGGGAGGATGGAATTCTCCTCCTCTGCGCTGAACAAGGCGCTCGATGCGTTTCGCTAACAAGTCGGTGTAAATCTCCTGAGCCTTATTCGGTTCAATATCCTTGAATGTTGTGAGGTCGCCCCCGATGACCAATTCGTGCGGGTAATAGACTGATCGCGAGAAGTCATGCAAAAATTATGTTTACACATTGAATTTACTTGGCCGGGTTTGTCAAATGGTGGGTGACTATCCGTACGGATAGTCATCCAGTAAGTAAAAGTTTTACTGACTCGGAGGGGGGAGTCCTTGGTTGCCCAAAGCTTCTTCTTGCCGCATGTTTTCCATTGACTACTCCCAAGCCAGTCGAACATAAACTTAATTAATGAGATGCGGTCTGCGATAGCCAAGCGTCCAAATTTAAAGATATTCCTATAGGGCCTACTAGTACTAGTATTGTGCAGGGCTGCTTAATAAGTTCGACGGGGATTGACCATCGGATCACGAGTGATGAGATATGAAAGCCGGGGAGTGAATTCACTGAGGATACGGAAGTAAGAACAAGCTTTTATATCTATAGCAGCATAACGGGAACTGCACAGCCGGTAGCGTAACGGTACAAGGTGAAGTCAACTAGTAGTACAAAGGGAATTCCTCACCCAACACAGTAGCGTTCCTTACAATTGGTAGCGCACTATGAAGTCCAATCCAATCAACCTGCAGTCACATCTGGCCAGCTTGTGCAGTCTTAAGCAAGAAGAGACATGCAAGAATAACAATTGAGATGTGCACAACTGAGATTGAATTTGATCAGCACTGCTCGCAAATATCCTGTACGGCCTGAAAATCCCCACAGGATACAACAAAGGCGGACTTACTGTAATGCACCACACTTTGCATGCCAGCCGGGACGCCGACCCGCAAATCTGATTTGTGCTCAGATGACAGATAAGAGTTGCGGTGTTCCCGAGCCTTGTTCCAGTCCTGCATAGAATCAAGCACCGTGTGGATGTGTGTCTCAGAAAGCGGTGTATTCGAATGCAACGAGAGAGAGAGAGCAGTTCCCACAGTGTTCTTGATCTATGATTCTGTTGGCATCAATCACTTCCAATTATGGGAAATGCAAGAAAGTGATGATCAACATACCTGACGGCCGTTGAGTATCTCCCGGGACAAGGCATTAATTTCGGCCTCTCCGACTGTGGACTGGCAGGAATCCGATGTTTTATCAATGAACGTCTTCCAGATCTGTTTGCGTGAGTCATGACACAGTGGTGGGTAGTGCACCGTGAAGTGGATTCGACCTGTTTTGTGATTGACTGAGGAACACAACTACAGCAAAGCGAAAGCACATACTCTCGAATGCAGCATCACACTGTGAAACTAGGTTGGTCGTCAAAAACATGATTCCCTGATAGTATTCCAGTTGCCGTAGAAAAATAGACACCAGGGCATTCCGCTCCACATCAGTCTCCCTCCTTTGTGACAGAAAAACATCTGCCTCGTCGAGCAGGACGACTGCTTTCCACCGCTGAGAAAGTTCCAGAATCTGAGCTAGAGCATGGTCTACATGCTCCGAGTCAGATCCCAATTCGCCTGCCGAAATTTAATATAAGGGACGCTTTGTCACCTGACCGAAGGTGATGAGGGTAGATGAAATCATGAGTTACGCTGAGAAATACCTCTGCCGCTGCTTCCGCTGTAAGCGTCTTCCCACATCCAGGTGGGCCCGCAAGCAATCCGACGAGGCCTTTTCCTTTTCCCCGCACGAAGTCGTCAAAGGTTGAACTAGTACGCGATGCGTGCTGCTTCACCAATGCATGAATCAATTCCTTGTGTCTGTTGTCCAGGACCAGGCGATCGAAGGGCTCTAATGACCAGGACACATCCACCAGCTTGTCAAGAGCGAATCCACCTAAGACGCGTAAGTTTGTTATAGAAATGTGTGGAACCAAGCGGGAAAATTCTCGTACCCCATTGCTTTGTTCCGAAGCAAAAGCCTAAGAGAACAGGAGTGCAGATCATATATTGCTCTTCCTCGAGTTCCTTTGGCTTCAACCGGGTAGAAACCCGGAGATTGAGACTAGACTCAGGTTTAAACATACGAAATGCACCAGGATCGATCATGACGCGCCCGTATGCCTATATCAATTTGTTATAGGCTATACTATCAACAGGACTGGTTATTACTACTCACCCTGTACTTTCGAACCTTACGGTCGTCGACACAGGCAGTCATCCCGGAAATCTCACCGTAAGTCTGGCGTTGCAAGCTTGCAAATCTCCGACCTCGTTCGGCTGCAAGTTCGCGAATGTAGGGTCCATTCGAATGATAGAGGAGGGGAAAAACAGATAGGCTTTGTATCTTTCGCTCTCCTTCGAACGATGGGATCAGAAGCCTTTGGTTAGCAATTCTAAAATGCTCGCCGTCGTGAGTAATCACATGACAATGGATTGCTGCACAAATTCCTTCATTTGTCAGTGTGATCTCAAAGCGCGTAAATCGGAGAATGTGGTCCTGCTCAGTGAACTCGTGGTGATTGAAGACCAGTGTGCCATAGCGGAATAATGTCCAAAGTAAATCGAAGGTGATGGACTCGTTTCTTGTCAACGATTGAAAGTCGGCGAAGGTGTTTTTGTGCTCCTCCTGGATAAAGTAAAGAAGCACTTCGATTTCAGAAATTAGCGAAGTGTTTGGTGTGCCGTTCGACCTTTCTGATTCCAGTCGTTCCTCGAGCTCGTTGTAAGAGAAAAAAAAGCAGCTTCAGGTCACACTGAAATGCGTAATGAGAATTGCATTGTGGTGTTAAAATATTTAATGTTCAACTTACGATACTTCGCAAGAGATCTAAACCTTGCAGGCCTCGGTGTATCTCCATGAGCACTTTGCAAAGTTCTTGACTTCGGATGTCAATTTCAGTCTTTGTGTGTTGGCCCTTGCTGTCCATGACTCGTCGGACGACAATAACTGGTTTCTTTTGATTCAGTTTCTCGAGGTGCTTTGACTGCTCGTCTGTGTTCGTATTTTTGTGGACGGTTGTTCCAAGTCGTCTGGAAGAGTTATCAAGTTCAAACGCTGAATGTTCCATTCTAAGGATGCTCACGGATCATGACTGTAACGAAGATTGATATGAAGAACCGGGACGATACCGTACGGAAGAACTCACTGCTGGTCATAACGAGCAATTCGTGCCTCTAGGGGGTGTGTTGTTGTTCCTGCATCAGGATGTTCCTCCGTACTAGACATGATAGAGAAATTTATGGGAACCGTTTTCTTGGGGATTGAAAACAACACAGTGTGCCTTCAGCTTTATGTATGGTGAGAGTATCACAGGTAGAAAACCACATGTCGAGCTCCTGTACACTCCACAGCATCTTATGGCGTCATGTAAATTGAAATGCAGTGAGTTCATACCGACTGCCCGCAAACTTCGAAAGGCTTCAAAGTAGCAAGATGGAACGGAGCAAGAACGGGTGCAAAAAGGCCACGCTGAATCAAAAGACTGGGCGTAACACTAGATGCCGTGAACTAGAGTGGTGTCCGGAATACACGCAGCCAGCGTGTGCAGCTGATGCCGAAAACATCAATATGAGTGCTTGAACCCGGGCAGCCAGATGTGATATCCAAACACTACCTGACTAGTTATGATGTGATGCCTACAGCCTTTGTCTTGCTATAGGTATATCACAGATAACCGTAGGAGTCGCGAGTTCTAATATTTTTAGAGGTCGGACCGAGCAGCATGTGATAGTAAGTGATGTGTTGCAAGAAGGGGTGTTAAACATCTCGCCGAGTGGCACGCAGGTGGCAAATCAGTTTCTGATCTGCTATGCGTCTTCGGGCCATCTGAGAGGTCCACTTCCTGCGCCCTGATTCCAGTTGAAGGCGTCTCGACCTTAATAACTCCGCATGCCAACCTGTATATTCCAGAAGAGCAATCAGATCCAAGACCGCAATGGAAGGTTTAACAGGACTGGGCAATTGACCCATAAGTATATGGGATTGCCTCCTGCGAACAGAGCACGGGGCTGTGGAAGAAGAGGAAGGAGAAAACTTACTATGTGTATGTGTATGTAATTAGGTACAGCGCGGTTCAAATATTAATCTATACAGCAAGTACCGTGACTGGATTTGTGAGACTGCAAACGCGTGACGCGAGTTACATGAGTGCTTCGAAGCGCTTGATGAACATGAATATTAAATTCCTATGTCCACACCTACTTATCAAGGGTAGAGCTTGGCCTGGACATCTGATGGAAAGAAACTCATCTCCGGTTCATTCCAGATTAGTATATCCGACACAGCCACTTGGGAGCAGATCGCCATCCTGAAGGATCATGACGACCTCATCGACACCATCTCCTCGTCTCGCAACGACCGCCTCCTTGCAAGTGCATCTGTTGATCACACAACGCGTCTATGGAATCTGGATATCAACCTCCCAGTCGGACCACGCATCCAACATGAAGGTGATGTGCGCTGCGCAGCACTTTCCGCTGATGGAAAGCTGTTAGTCACTGTTTGTAAAAACGAAAACGCGTACATATGTGACATTCACGCCATCCTCCAACCTTTATCTGATGTAAAGTCCACGATTTTTCAGTCAAAACTACGCTGATCTCAAGAGTTATTAATGGATGTACGTAATCCGTTTCTCAACCTTCCCAAAGGTTGTAACCTTGATATTCCATTTAGGCAGATGCTATGCAGGGCGAGAATGATGATCTTTCGCCAGGATTTTCAACGACGTGACAAACGGTGCTCGTGTGCGTATCAGTGTTTTTACTAAGTTCTTGTTCTAACCTCTTGATTTCAGTCCTCCAGAGCATACGGTAACTATCACTATTCCTCTGCCCGCCATTCCCACTGTCTCACACCCTCTTTGGGAGTGAGAGTACGCTCTTTCGTCGCCTTTGGTCACCTTTCCGTCGCTCTCCTCGCAACAAACGATGCAACCAAACTCCAGCAACGCCCAAGGTAGCCCACCTTCTCTCGTGGTCCTCGTATCAATCGAATTTTCTGCAGTGGAGGTCAGAGACTCGGAGGTATACATTTGTTTGCGCGCATTTCCCATCGCTGTGATTTAATGATTTATATCCAGGTTATATATACCGCTCCGCCGCCGCCGCCACAAAAAACACACCAGGAAACCCGATCACACGCCCAGGGGTCGTCCATAACACCACCTACTCCATGTACTGATCCTACGACACCACGTCCAAGATATGCGCATTCACTGCCCGTCCGGCTGTTGGCTCATCTCGTACTTTTTCTCTGCTGCGCAATCTCCTCGACACGCCAATCGAAATACACAACCACGCAGCAGCAAGGTCAATCGCAAGGTCAAGTCCAGGACCAGGTGTCATCCGACTCATCACAGACTCAGCCTGCCGCCCCGTCCGCGTCCGCGACACCTCCTGCTCTTGATACTCATACTGCCTCACCAGTTGCAGGAAGTGCGTAGTCACGATCCCTTCCATTGCAGACTTGTTTTGTTCTTTTTTCTACTGTATATCCTGATGGGTATTAACACTGAAGCATATGGACACTTATCTCATCTTTGCATTTGGTTCTTTGGTAATTCTTGTTATCTCGTTGTTCACATTGAGAATGTGGTATTTGATTTCACAACCTCGATCTCAGGTTGCCTTCAACGCTATACCGTGAAACCTCGACGTCCGACTCTCATCTCTAGAAACATGTTCTAGCTGCAAATGATGCTGTACATCTCGTGCATCACTCATCCTGTTGGCACATATTTTTCGGGTACCCGATGGCACGTATGTACATTCTGCCTTAGATTCATCGATCGCACAACTGCACCCTCCCAACTGTTGTCTAAGTCTCCGCACTGTATCAGCGAACCAGCAACAATGGTTGAATACCAGTGCTACTGGTTTGCAACTACAATGCGAGTTCTCCTTGCACATACGTTAGATACAGAATGGCTATGGACACCTCAAGCGTTCCTGAAGATGGTGAAAGGCAGGGAGAAACAGTATTGCGTCACTGATCTTTTCTATCTGGAGTGTTCTATGAGAACAGGATCTCGTGGAAAGGCATGGAATGTATCATTAGAACTGTATAGTCCGAAGAGCGATTATTCTAACCGAACAAAATGTGATACGAGCATCTTGTGTTCGATGCATATGGCTGTAACTGGATGAATTAAGAACCATCCTCTGAAATAATGTGGGAGATTGTTGTGTAGGTCATGTGTCATGTATACTGTAGAATAGGTCAGTGGGACGCTCTGACATGATTGGACGAAGGAGCATAGCAATATTTAGGATGTGCTCGGTCCTACTTTCATGTAAAGTAATGACAAATTGATAAGGGCTTGAACATGTGTTGGGGCAAATGAATCTGGCAGCTAGCGCTGACCGTAGAAAGCGAAAGTTCCTTTCTGGGTGAGCGCTTGAGCGGCGAACAGAGATTCAACTGTATTGAACTTAGATTGTGCAGCGTGTCCCAGAAGCTCCCCGTATTCGATACCTGATGTCCATAAGTACCTATAGCTATCCAGGGTAGAGATTTGGCATCTATGGATACAGATAAGGTGTTCAGGGACTACCCTTGATCAAGCACCTCTCCATCAACCCTCGGCCTCATCGGGCATCAGATCTCACTGATGTAATACTACTATTGGCGTGATCGCTCACCTATCAGCTTGTCATAACCCTCTGGATCTTGCTGACTAGGTACTCGTAGAATATCCATTTCATCATTGATATTGACATCCGAACGTCTGGCGCATGCTACTGTATAACGATTGTGAACGCACTGCACACGAGACACAGGTATGCATTCCATGTTCTTTAAGGTTGGTTCAGCAGCCATCGCGATCGCCAGTCGGGTGCAAGTCGAGGGAGTCCGCATCTAGAATGATGCTTCGACTCAAGATGTCCCACTCGCAAACGAATTCAAAGGCATCCCGTAAACCTTATTGATTCATTCCAGATGTCAGCGTCATACTGAAGTCACAACGGGTCTATCTGCAACCGTAGCTGAATTAACGTAACGGTAGGATATCATTTGAGATAGAACGAGGTGCAGAATTTACGGACTGGGAGGTGAAAATGAAGCGGCTGCAATACAGCGAAGTAACTTCGTCCTGAGGGGGTATTTACGGAGCAGTGACACTGACCATGAATTCCTTGGTAAACAACTTTGTCTTGATGTGAACAAGGATGTATATGCAATTGGCTGACCCTTGGTGAAGAAAAATTGAGCTTAGGGAAGACTACGCCATATTTTTCGATGACTTGTCTTATACGCTCCTCTAGATCGGGGAAGGAGAAGGATCGTCCGACCGCATCATCATCCTTGTCGTGGTCCTTTTCTTCTTGATCCGAAAGAGAGCTTTCTGCGGGACGGTGGGAAGTGAGTACGATTGAGACAGATGGTATGGCTAGTCAACTGACAGGTTTTCCGAGCCTTCTGGTACGAAAATGCCGTCCGAGTCGACGTATTCCTTAAATACTTGATCCAAGGGACGGATGATAGTGCTTTGATGCTGACGGAGGAAAATGTTAGATACCATTATGAAAATTGGAAGGAAAGTAGGTAATCTGGTGTCTGTCACCAGGAAAGATTATAGGCATGGTCAGTCACCAGACTCCCCACTTAATCACATACACTCATGCATATGCTTTTTTGAAACCGTACAATATGCATGACGGAAGTTCTTCGTTGACCAGTCTTAGCTGGCAAGTGGTAAGCATTACGTGACAGAAATTTGTTGCAGGTTCGAAACCTGCTCGACCATATTTTTCCTTTTACCACGCCTTCAACATTCACTCATCGATGGATCCTTCAGGTCGCTTACCAGCATCAGAACAGATCAGAAATATGCTATCTCGGGTGGTGCGGATTTGAAACCCGCCGACAAAGACAAACGATTTTAACTCTTATTACACCTTGGGCAAGTTCTTCGGAGGTTCATCTCGACTTGGGAACTTTTGGGAAGCGGTCTTAGCCAACATGGTTGCCGCAACAGAATCGAAATCTGTATCTCTTGGACTGCGCAGGTTTGAAACCTGCCGACGACAAGTTTTTTCTATCGCAACATTCACTCGTGGGTGGTCTCATCAGAGGCTCATCTGGACTAGTCTTAGCCAAGTGAGCTACCGCAACAGAATCGAAATCTGTTTCTCTTGGACTGTAGGGGTTTGAAACCTGCCGACGACAAGGTGTTAACTGGTGTTAGCCAAGTGGTCACCACAACGGAATCAAAATCTGTTTCTCCCAGCCTGCGCAGGTTCGAACCTGCCGAATGACAGGATTTTTTTTTCTATCGCGCGACGAAGACAGTACGTTGTGTTTGCTTGAGATCGGACAACGACTTCCAGCTCATGATAGTGGGGTTCAGAAAAATCTGATTGCTTGGGAAGTCTGAAAATGTGGCATCATATAGAAGGGCATTGCCTATGTATGTTGCGCTGATTAGAAGTGGTAACAAGGATCATGTCTTCTGAATATCACAGCATTCGATTGGTAACTCGGCGGCCAAAGTTCTGTTCACTTCAAACCCACTTAGTGGCGAGGGAGAGGTCTACATATTAGTGGTACGACAGGCTCCAGGATACAGCCTGTCTCAGTTGAAGACATGCATATCGCCAGTGACAGACCGGGGCGCTATCTCTACACGGCAAAGCGGACACAGCATGACAGATGGGACCCACCTTAAACGACGAAACGAAGTGGTGCCCAACTTCCCCGACTCTAATCCCAACGCCCACTGATCGCTGGTGATTGAGTACAGAGGATGTCTGAACGGTGCTTCCCATGAGTGATACTCTGCAGGGCAAAGCTGACCACCTAAATACGCCCAGCAACACCAGCATACATTGTCTCGGACCTTTCTTGTGGGTGAGGATGTAATTCCTATTAGCAAGCTGTTTGGCAGATGAGGGCTTGAGTGACAGAATATAGCACGTCGACTCACCGGCAATTACTGTTGCTAGATGCAAGCAGAAGTGAAGATGGGAAAGTGAGGTTGTGAGGTGTCGAGACGGGAAAGGTCATCGCCTAATGGACAGAGTACACCCAGAGTGTGTCGTCAGTATTGCACTGGAGTACTGGAGTGCAGATGGTAACTAATAGCGAGCGCTGGTATGGAACAGAAAGAGTATAAGACGTCAAGAGCAGCAAAATCATCTTCAAAAATCATCGATAAACGTCCAGGTCAAGGTCCTAATTGATAAAAACGGTTGTAAGTATGTAGTGCGGAAAGGAGCTTCCCCATCTTGGCATCCCAAAATTTTGTTGGATCCTTGTTCCATTTGCCCATCGCGATTTTTGATGAATGGCCCGAGCAAATCACCGCGGACACATGTTTGTCCCCGGTCTTGATTAATTGAACTTTGTAGGGGTAGGCAACCACGCAGATTGGTAGGGTCAAAATAGTCAAAATAGTCATATGGTGACGTGATAAGCAGACAAAGCTGACATTTGAAGTTTGGAAACCTGGACTCAGTGTGATTTAAGTATCCGACCACGCCTCAAAACACGAATGCAAAAAGTGGTGAAACAATAATACTCACTAGATTCCTAGCGACCACAGAATTAGCAGAACAGGGTTAGATGGTGGGGAAAGCAGTAAAGTGTCATGTTTTGAAACCCGCCGATCATCCTGGCTTATGAGAAAATATGACCACGGCAAGCTTTGGGTTGATTTGGCATTGTTGAGTGCGGAAGAAAGAAACAAGTGGAGAGGAGAGGGATTGCGGCACCCCCTCGAATGTTTGCCATAATCAACGTAATCTATACGTGTTGCGGACCTGAGCGCTTCATATGCACAGCATTTAAGCTGTGAAGCATACACAGGATAGAAGACAGCATGAACGAACGAGTGTCCAGATTCCTCAACTCCCAACCAAACGCCCCCTGAACGCTGGTGATTGAGCACTGAGTTCGTCTAGACAGTGCTTCTCGTGAGTGATGCTCCAGGCTTTTCTGCAAGTTAAAACTGACCACTTGCTTACCAGTGACCTGCAAGAACCTCTTGTGCATTCTCGAACAACGGCGCAGCGACTCCCGCATACACAGCCCCGAAGTTGTATTCTAGGCGAAGACTGGATTCCTGTAAGTGAGCTATCTCATGAGCAATGACTTGCATGCTTCTGACAAGCACTAAATTGAAAGAAATTACGCCTCTGGACTCAACAGCAATATTCCCCGTTGGAGGATGGCCTGGTCTGATTCCAAAATCCCGGAAGACCTCCCTCATATACACATTCCCCGATCTGCAGTACTTAGAACCCCAGCGCTGACCATGTCTTCCCCTACCAGTGAGACACCAGCGATTACACCACGTCATACGATGCGAGGTCATACCAGATGGGTAAACGGTGTTGTGCACCTGCCTGGCGGACAACGGATCATCACATGTTCGACTGACGGTTCACTCCGACTATGGGACCTAGAGAGCGGCGCACAGATAGGTGAGGATTGGCGAGATGAGAATAACGGGGGAGTGTGGTCCATAGCATTGTCTTCCAACGGCAAGACAGTTGCAACTGGAAGCAACAATGGGAAAGTGAGTTTATGGAATGTCGAGACGAGGAAGGCTATTGCCAAATGGACAAGACACACCCATGTTGTAGGTGCATTGTCCTGGAGTGCAGATGGTAATCAAGTGTTGAGCGGATCTTGGGATGGGACGGCAAGAGTCTGGGATGTCGAGAGCGGCAAAACTGTCCTGACAATCAAAACTGGGCACTTGTGGGTGAACGCGGTGGTATGCTCGCCAAATGCGACAAAAATTGCGACGGGCGGACGCGACGAGGACGCAGTCAAAATCTGGGATGCAAAGACAGGCAAACTGTTCAAGACGCTCAAACACCATAAGATTCAAGTTTGCAGTTTAGCATGGACGTCGGACGGAAAGAAACTTATCTCCGGTTCACTCCAGATTAGGATATTCGACACAGCCACTTGGGAGGAGATCGCCATCCTTGAGCCTGGCCACAGACACTGGGTCTACGCCATCTCCTTGTCTCAGAATGAACGCCTCCTTGCAAGTGCATCGCTCGATAACACAACGCGTCTATGGAACCTCGACACGAACTTCCCAGTCGGACCACCTCTCAAGCACAATCATTTCGTGCGCTGCGCAGCCCTTTCTGCTGATGGAAAAGTTTTAGTCACTGGTTGCCAAAACAAAAAACGCGTACACATGGGACATTCACGTCATCCTCAAAGAAGCTGGCCTTGAAGACCAACTGCCCATTAATACCAATATTGTGAGCATAAACACATAACTCACTCACTCACTCACTCACTGACATTGTCTACTTGAACAGGAAGCATCTCAAGGTGATTCAGGAACAGAGCGCACCCCCCGTTCTTCGCTCAGTGACAAGTCGTTTTTGGAAGTACGTGAAGTATTTCTGATCCTTCTCAGTCATTATAACATCAATATTCCAGGCTGGCGCTACGCGATGTCACGACGAGTTCGGCGGTGTTGATGAACTTTCACCAAGGTTTTTCGACAGCATGGAAGCCGATGATGTGTGTAATCATCTATTAAATAATTCATTTCCTGATCTCTGTGCTCTCAGCCCTCCCCATCAGGTGGTACTCACCCTCATTCCTCTGCAAGTGCACTCCTCGCTCGCCTTTCCTTGCTCTTTCGTCGCTTTCAACCTGAAGCGACAGAACTTCTGCAACCCTCAATGCCTTCGGGGTTACATCCCCGTGTGCTTTTCGCTCGCCTGTCCTCGCTCATCCACCGCTCCCCACCCGAAAATGATGCAGCAGATGAACTTCAGCAACCCTCCACGCCTTCGCGGGTAGATCTACATGCAGTCCTCGCTCGCCTGTCCTCACTTTTGCCCCGCCTTCGACTTAACGCCGACGAAGAACCCTCATATCACCCCACAACCCCTTCGGGTTTACGTCCAGATGCACTCATCGATCGTCTGTCCTCACTCTTCCGCCTTCAACCCCATACCAATGAAGAAATTGAACTCTCGCAGTACCAAAGGCATCCCCATGTTGTCGAAGTGGCTGCAGTGCGGGACAGGGAGGTATGTCTCCTCAGTGCGTTTACAATCGCCGTAGTTTAATTATTTCTGTCCAGGTTATATTTACTGCTCCGCCGCCGCCACAAAAAACACAGCAGCAAAGCCAATCGAAAGGCGAGGAGTCATCCACGACGCAACATGCTCCAGGTACTAAGCCTACTACACCACGTCCAAGATATCCGTATTCACTACCCGTCCGATTGTTGGCTCATCTCGTGCTTTTTCTCTGCTGCGCATCTCCTCAACACGCCGACACCAATGCACAATCAATGCAGCAACAGCAGCAAGGTCAATCGTAAGGTCAAGCCCAGGCCCATGCACTATCATCGCAGACTGAACCTACCGCCCCCTCGACGTCCGCAACACCTACTGCTCTTGATACTCGTGCGGCCTCACCAGTTGCAGCAAGCGCGTAGCCACGGCCCCTTCCATTGCCAATCCATTTCGTTCGTTCGTTCGTTCTGCTCTACATCTCCTCGGCATGCATATGAGCATTAATACTGTAGCATATGGACACTTAGTTCATCTTTGCATCTGGTTCTTTTGCGATTATGGTGATCTTGCAGCGATCTTCCGTTATATGATTTTCTGCAGACGATGATACCGGGACTGGCCTGTACTTTACGGGACGAGAATAGTTTGATCTCAGACTCGAGTCCGCTCATCCATAGACATCCACAACACTATTACAAACTCTATTTATCAGCTAGTCTTATGGGAGAATTGAGCCTCTGACGGGTAAGGTGTCTCCGTCCAATGATGAAAAGTCGGGAGGTCAAGGTTGAAACCGAAATGTAATTCACAAATGATTGGGGCGCAACAAAACACACGACATGTTGGCGAGATGTCTGATAATTGACGCAAGAAACGGGATACGGGATTGCTCGTGACATATGTGGGCTGGACACCTTCCTTCCGTATCACATGAATCCCCATGCCATGCCAGTCCGCATCAAACACCTTCTGAAGATTGATTGAGAAGTGCAGTAAGCCCTGCATGGCTCTTGCACAGAAGTAACTTCAAGAAGGGCGTTATATTGTCCGTGCAAACATTCTCCGAAAGAAGCGAGGCGTGCCGAAGTTTGTGTGGTGCAAAAATAGGGAGTAGACCCGGATAAAGGGAAAACGACCGTCTGGAATCCAGCGACCCAAGAGAAGCGCAAAAGAGTGCTGAAAGTGTGTTTCAAAGACCACACCATCGTTCATCCACTCTGACAGATTGAATGAATGAACATGATCATATCTAGTCATTGAGTATACACACGTTACCTCACTAGCGCCTACTCAAGCCCATAGCTCAGCTCCAGTGCCAATTCCGGCCTCATGAGGATGCCCCCGTTGTCATAATTCCATTTTCCAGCATTGAGAGTCAGGTGCAGCTCGGTGATCGTGTACTCGCGTAGGATTAACCAAGAGTCAGTGGGAACAGCGTAGTGCTGGGCTGCACAGCTCGTGTAGTTCAGGAGTGAGAAATAGTGATGGCAGACTCACATTCATCTAATAGTTGTCTCAAGGCCTTCGGATTTCGTGAAACTGCGCCCTTTATAACAGTCACAGAGTCGATACTCGCCCATCTCTGGGTGGTTGATGCGGAGATCATCCTTATAAATTTTCCTCCGATATATAGCAAAGGATGCACAAAGGTAAGTGAAGAAAATTCAGACTGATTACGAACAAATTACGAATGGCATGAATGACACAAATGGGGCGAACGGGGCGAAAAGTCGAAGTCCGGATGGAAAGAAACTTATCTCCGCATCAATTTGGCCTAATTAGAATAGATATCAGATATATCATACAGCAAGAAGATGGGGTGTGATGACATCATGATGGTCGTATGCGATACATGTGATGAGCTGTCACTGCCTTGTGTGGGGCAAGGCGGACCTTGCGAGGTTGATTGAATAGTGATCGAATTGTCCTGAATATACAGTCTCCACCAAGACGAGTACACAGGGTTCAACGTTGCCACGAAATTGCATTCATGTGAACTTTTGGTACCACTCATCTTCACACATCAGGTCCGCTGCTACTCACGATGAAGATGGTATATTGTTTTTGGGAAAAGGATCAATCAATAAATGCACTGTAGCAACATCTAGATTGCGCCTCTTCCTAGATGTAAAACAATGAGAACAATGCATACACCACAGGATGAAATCAAATTCATATCTCATAGACCTTATCGAAATGATTCCGGATATCGAATTTCATACGGCAAGTCGCACAAGGGTCTGCATGAATTCACAGCTAAAAATGGGTGTGACGATGGTATCTTCTTGGTCGAGAGGCGAGGGTCCAGAATATTACGGTAGTAAAGGGGTAAAAAGGAAGCGGGCTAGAATCATGACTGTAATCCAGCGTACTGTCCGAACTTGCGCAATGAAGCGAAGTAGTGATACACACCATGACTTCCGTTGGAAACAACAACTCCGTCATGGGTGCTGATATTATTGGCAAGCTGCACTGCTTGCATATACCCTAAAATGTTTGATGGCAATCGAGTTCATACACAGACCAGAAGAAAACATGCGGAGTGGGTAGGGAGTGCGGGGCACACCGTCTATAATCAACCATCAACTCGAATGTAGTCCTTACTTATAGGAAGATAGACATAGTACCATCGCACACTTGAGCGCCGAGGCACTTGATCTACAGCAACGAGCTGTGAAGCAAACACGAGGACACATGAGACCCACCTTAAAAGACAGCCAGAACGAACGAGTGTCCAGCCTCTAAACGTTGAACTCCCAACCAAACCCCCTTTGAATCGCTGGTGATTGAGCACTGGATTCGTCTAGACGGTGCTTCCCGTATGATACTCTAGGCTCTTCTGTAGGTTAAAACTGACCACATGCTTACCAGCGACCCACAAGACTCTCTTGTGCATTCTTGGATAACGGCGCAACAACTCCTGCATACAGTCCCAAAGCTGTTGACTAGGCGAGGACTGGATTCCTGCAAGTGAGCTGTTTCATGAGCAATGGCTTGCATGCTTCTGACGAGCGCCAAAGAGACAGAAGATAGGCCCCTGGACTCACCTGCAATTGTCACTACTGTTGGATAACCCGGTCTCAAAGATCCAACAGCGTCTCTCGCAAACATAGTCCCCGATCTACCGTGGTTGAGACTCCGAGTGTAAAACTATGTCTTCCTCCATCAGTGAGGCGCCAGCGATCGCGCCACGCCGGATGATGCAAGGTCATACTGACTGGGTAAGCGGTGTCGCGCACCTACCTGGCGGACGACACAGCATGACATGTTCGACAGACGGCTCACTCCGACTATGGGACATAGAGAGCGGCACACAGATAGGAAAGGGCTGGAAAGATGGGAGTAACGCAGGAGTGTGGTCCATGGCACTATCTTCAGATGGCAAGACAGTTGCAAGTGGATGCGGTGACGGGGAAGTGAAGTTATGGGATGCCAAGACGAGGAAGGTTATCGCCAAATGGGCAGAACACACCGATAATGTGCGGTCATTGTGCTGGAGTGGAGATAGTAATCAAGTGCTGAGCGGATCCTTGGATGGGACAGCAAGAGTTTGGGATGTCAAGAGCGGCCAAAACTGTGCTGACAATCAAAACTGGGGACAAGTGGGTGAACGCAGCGATATACTCGCCCGATGCAACAAAAATTGCAACGGGGGGGTGGGACGTCAAAATCTGGGATGCAAAGACAAGCGAACTGTTCAACACACTCAAACATAACGAAGTTTACAGCTTGGCCTGGACGTCGGAAGGAAACAGGCTTATCTCCGGTTCATATGGCCTAATTAGGATATTCAACACAGCCACTTGGGAGGAAATCGCTGTCCTTGAGGGTCACCAACACTTTGTCTACGCCATCTCCCTGTCTCCGAACGAACGCCTCATTGCAAGTGCATCAAATGATAAAAACAGCGCGTCTATGGAATCTTGACACCAACCTCCAAGTCGGACCACCCCTCCAGCACAAAGAAGATCTGCGCTCCGCAGCCCTTTCCGGTGATGGAAAGCTGCTAGTCACTGGTTGCCAAAATGAAAACGCGTACACATGGGACATTCACGCCATCCTCAAAGAAGCTGGGCTTGAAGACCTCCTCCATTCTTTATCTGATGTAAAGCTCGTGGTTCTTTAGTCAAAACTACGCTAATCTCCCACTCGCAGGTTGCAGCTCAAGAGTCATTAATGGATGTACGTGATATTTTCTCAACCTTCCCAATGGTTGTAACCTTGATATTCTATGTAGGCGGATGCTACGCAGGCCGAGGATGATGAACTTTCGCCAGGTTTTTTCAATGGCATAACAGATGGTGCTTATGTGCGTCATCAGCATTTTTAATCGGTTCCTGTTCTGACCTCTTGATTTCAGTCCTCCGGAATGTACGGTAACCATCATCATTCCTCTGCCCGCCGTCCCCACCCTCTCGCGCCTTCTTTGGGGAGTGCGAGTGCGCTCTTTGGTCGCCTTCGGTCGCCTTTCCGCCGCTCCCACCGCGATACTGACGATGCAACCGAACTCGTGCAACACCCCAGGCGGTCTATCTTCTCTCGCGGTCCTCCTATCGTCAAAGTTGCTGCAGTAAGGGATAGAGAGGTATGCATTTTTTCGCGTGCATTTCCCATCATCTTAGTTTAATGATTTCTGTCCAGGTTATATTTACTGCTCCGCCGCCGCCACGAACAACACAGCAGCAAACCCAATCACACGGCCAGGGGTCGTCCGCAACACCGCCTGCTCCAGGTACTAATTCTACTACACCATGTCCAAGATATCCGCATTCACTACCCGTCCGGTTCTTGGCTCATCTCGTGCTTTTTCTCTGCTGCGCATCTCAACACGCCGATGCCAACACACAACCAACACAGCAGCAGCAAGGCCATCCGCAAGGTTAATCCTAGGCCCAAGTGTCATCATTGCGGACTCAGCTTGACGCCCCCTCGGCGTCCGCGACACCTCCTGCCCCTGCTCCTGCTCCTGTGCAGCGGTGGTGCAGTCATGACCTCTTCCACTGCGAGCTCACTTCGAGCTGTTTCATTGTTGTACATCTCCCCCACACGCCGATGGTCATTAATGCAGGTACACGACTATTTCAGCTTTGCTTCTAGTTTTTCTGTACTCTTATCTCTTCTTCATATCATCTCGCAACTACATCATCAACCTTGTTTCCCCGTCATATGACTCGTGCAATTTGTTGTACATCTCCCCCACTGGCCGATGAGCATCGACACTACAGCATCTGGACAGTTATCTCATTTTTACATCTGGTTTTTTTATAATTATTGTTGTCTCTTCGTTCACGCCGTGTCTGTATTTCAGTTCACAACCTCCTCGATCTCGCCTTAGCTTCAACGCTATGCCGTGAAATCTCGATTTTCATCTCAAGCAGTCGTAGAAACATGATTAACTCCAAATTCTAGTGCTACATGTCTCGTGCGCCACTCTTCCCGTCTGTCTATTCCTCGAGTGCCTGGCAAGTATGTACATCCTACCTTGGACTTGATCGATCGCACAACTGTACAAGTGCACTCTCCTGCATCCAAATTACTGTTCCAAACTCGAGCTGCTAGTTAGTCTTACAATCGATGTTGTCGAATTGAGCCTCTGGCGAGCAAGATGTCTCTGTCCAATGATAAAAGGTGCGGTGGCCAAGGTCGAATATAAATCGCAGAGAAGTGTGGGACTGGATTCAAGAAACTGCACGGCATAGTATTGACTCTGGATGACATGTCTGATAATCGACGTGATAGCCAAGCGATACGGGATTGCTCGTGAAATGGGGCTGGACACGATTTAAGAATCAGGTGATAGGCGTCGGCGCAAACCTCTTTGTGCTTGACATGCCTCTGATTAAATGCTGGACCACTCTAAACCACGAAAGAGATTGAGAAAGTGTTGAACATGATTTTAATTCACTGGGAAATAATCAATGAACGTGTGTGGGACTAACAGCTTGCTAGTCTTGGTGATGATCGATGATCATTCTTGGATGGGAGGTCATCTTAGCCTTCGAAAGGTAGTCAGGCAAGCACTTGGATCGTTACGGTCGAAATCGTCCTGGGCTGATATGACAAGTTTTCACCTGAAATTCAGCAGAGAAATTAGACACGATATATGCTACTCACTAATACAGGCTATGCATACCACAGGTAGCAGCGATGTCCAGAATTCAAGGCTTCACCTTTGTCTTGAACTCTACTCCTTCCGGTATTCATCTTGAAGGCCTTGATTGCGATTCAGCATGCTGTACCCTCGACTCGATCGACCTGGACGTCTTGGTGGATGCATTTCGTGCGCTGCTAACGCGGCCCATCCTGCGAATTAAGAGGAGAGCCGCTGTGATTGAGAACTGTCAATCATTTGCACAGATACGAAGTAATAATACATATATACGTAGCGGATATGCGAATATTTAAGATCTTGACACGCACCAGTACCTAACTTAAGGATAAGCTTTGGTAGGACACTGCAGCACAAGTGACATACTTACGGATGGAAGTAGATGCGTAGTAAAAGCCACATGGAAGAGAGGTATCACCGACTCTGATCTGATCGTCCTACTGGGATCACGAGGCAATGAAAGCATGCATCGTGGCATTGGGACGATTCTTCACCTGCCGGGAAAGCATAATCACAACATCTGAGTCTCCACACTGTATTAGCAAACCAGTAACAATGATCCAATATCAGTGTTACTGGTATACTGTTACAGTGCGAGTTCTCCTCGTATAGATGATACACAGCGTGCCAGTTTGGCACCCACAGGATATCCATGGACGCCTCGAATGCTCCCGAAGATGGTGAAAAGTAGATAAAACAACATCGCATCACTGATATTTTCCATCTGGAATGTTCTACGAGAACAGAATCTCGGCGTGGAAAGGCATGGAATGCGTCATGAGTTAGAACTGCACGGTTCGAAGAGCAATTATTTCACTGACCAAAATGTGATACGAGCATCTTGTGTTCGATGGCTGTAACTGAGTGAATGGGCGATATAGTAAGACTATCCTCCTTTGAAACGACATGGGAGAGTATTGTATATTGCGTGAGGCGAATCGCGATATCGGGGTCATGTGCCATGTAGGCTGTGTGGAATAGGTTAGTGGGACGCTCTGACAACAGACAAAGGAGCATCATGGCATAGCGAGGAAATCAGTGATGCCAATAGGGTGTGCTCTGTCCTGCTTTTAAGATCATGACAAATTGATAAGGGCTTGCAAGCTTGAACACGTGTTGGGGCAAATCTAGCAGCTGACCGGTGACCACTCGATCGGTTGCTTACCCGTACATGTTGATTGAAAAGACAGTTTCATTGTAACCATGTACCAGAAAGCGAAGTTCCTTTCTGGGCGAGAGGCGAACAAAGATTCAACCTTATGTCACTACCATCCTGGACCATTTTGAACTCCGGTTGTGCAGCGTGCCCCAGAGGGCCCCGGACCCGATCCTGGATGACGATAAGCACCCATCAAGGGAAGTCGAATATCTATGGATATAGATAAGCGTTCGGACGGCTACCCTCAATGAAGCTCGCGCACCTCCATTAACCATCCATCTCGCATCAGATCTCACAAACTAATACTATTTGCATAATCGCTCATTGGATGCTGCTAAGTGCCCTGCACATGAGACACGGGTACCCAATCCATGTGTTTGAGCTTGGTTCTCGAGTTCCTTTAGCAGCCGTCGAGATAGCCAGCCAGTTATGAGTCGGGGGAGTCCACCACCGAACTGATACTTACGACTCGGGATGATCCATACTTCCAATGACGTACTTTCGTTCAACTTTCGTATATTACTGTAACATCACCCTTGGAGCACGGTGATGCATCTGTGTTTCCAATGCGTTGCAGCAACGTCATAGTTGCACTCTTCTATATGTAACCATGAGACAATGCACATACAACGAACAAAATAAACACTCGTAGACCTTATCAAATGATTCCGCATATCAGCTTCACACTGAAGCCGCACCGGGTCTGCATGATCACTGCCAAAAAAAAAAGTAAGAATAGCATATCCATTGGGTTATATCGAAGGTCAGAATTTACGGAGTGTGGGAGGGCTGATAGGTAAAAAAGGAAGCGGCTAGACAGGACTGTGATAAAGCGGGCTGTCAACGTTTGCACGAAACGACCTGAGGTCGTGAAGAAATGCATTTGCGAAGTATTGACACTCGCCACGACTTGGTAAATGTCGACTCTATCCTGCATGCTGCGCAGCCTGCATACATCCTGAAATGTTGACGGCATCGAGTTCGAACATAGGTCGGAAGAAAAATGCGGAGTGAAAAGGGAGTGGACACGCTGTCAAATGTTTGCCATAGCCATAGCCCTGACGTATAGCAATGTGCACATACTAATAAGTAGTACCGGTCGCAGATCTGAGCGCTTGATCTACACACAGCAATAAGCTGTGAAGAGAACATGAGAATGATGCATGACGTGCACCTTAAAAGACGGCTTGGACGAACAAGTGTCCAGCTTCCTCAACTCCTAACCAGACGCCATCTGATCGCTGGTGGTTGAGCACCAGGTTTGTCTGAACAGTGCTTTCCGTGAGTGATACTCTAGGTTAGAGACGTGCGGAGTGAAGAGGGAGTGGGCACGCTGTCAAATGTCTACCGTAACCGCCAACGTATAGGAATAATGAGTAGCACCGGTCGCAGATCTGAGCGCTTGATCTACACAGCAATAAGCTATGAAGCGAATACGAGGATGACGCATGGGACGCACCTTAAAGTACGGCTTGAACGAACGAGTATCTAGCTTCCTCAGCTCCCAACTAGATACCCTCTGATCGCTAGTGATTGAGCACTGACTTCGCCTGGACGGTGCTTCCCGTGAGTGATACTCTAGGCTCCTCTGTATGTCAAGGCTGGCCACTTGCTTACCAGTGACCCGCAAGAATCTCTTGTGCATTCTCGAACAACGGCGTAGCAACTGCTGCATATACAGTCCCGAAGCTGTCTACTAGGCGAGGACTGGATTCCTGTAAGTGAATTGTCTCACGAGCAATGGCTTACATGCTTCTGGCAAGCGTTGAAGTGAAAGAAGATAGGCCCCTGGATCCACCAGAAATACTCGCCGTTGGAGGATATCGATGATGGCTTAGTCTGATTCCAAAATTCTGCAAGACTTCTCTTGTATACACATTCCCCGATCTGCGGTATTTAGAACCTCAGCGTTGACCATGTCTTCCAAGACCAGGAAGACGCCAGCAATAATGCCATGCCGTACGATGCGAGGTCATACCGACTGGGTAAACAGTGTTATCACTGTCGTGCACCTGCCTGGGGGACGGCGCATCATCACATGTTCGACGGACGGCTCATTCCGACTATGGGACCTAGAGAGCGGCACGCAGATAGAAGAGGAATGGCGAGATGAAGATTACGCAGGAGTGCGGACCATGGTATTATCTCCAAATGGCAAGACAGTTGCAAGTGGATGCGATGACGGGAAAGTGAGGTTATGGGACATCGAGACAAGGAAGGTTATCGCCAAATGGACAGGACACACCGATGTTGTGGATGCATTGCGCTGGAGTAAAGATGGTAATCAAGTAGTGAGCGGATCCTGGAATGGGACAAGAGTCTGGGATGTCGAGAGCGGCAAAACTGTCCTGATAATCGAAACCGGGCAACCTGGGTGAAGGCGGTGATATACTCACCCGATGCAACGAAAATTGCGACCGGCGGATGGGACGATGATGCAGTAAAAATTTGGAATGCAAAGACAGGCGAACTGTTGAAGACGCTCGAACACAATGCAGTTTGGAGCTTGGCATGGACGTCAGACGGAAAGAAACTTATCTCCGGCTCATATGGCCCGATTAGGATATTCGACACTGCCACTTGGGAGGAGATCGCTGTCCTGGAGGGTCATACAAAATGGATCAACGCCATCGCCTTATCTCGGAATGGCCGCCTCCTTGCAAGTGCATCCGATGATAAAACAGCGCGTCTATGGAACCTCGACACCAACCTCCCAGTCAGACCACCTCTCCAGCACGAAAGTTTCGTGTGCTGCGCAGCCCTTTCCGCTGATGGAAAGGTGTTAGTCACTGGTTGCCAAAACAATAACGCGTATACATGGAACATTCACGCCACCCTCAAAAAAGCTGGCCTTGAAGACCTCCTCCAACCTTTATCTAATGTATATTCCGTGGTTCTTTGGTAAAGACTATGCTAGCCTTCCACTCGCAGGTTCCAGCGCAAAAGTCGTTGATAAACGTACGTGGCGTGTTTCTCGATCTTTTCAACCATTTTGAGATCATCACTCTAGAGCAACGCCGCACGACCTCCGCCTATCCAGGCTCGTCGAATACCGGCGTCAGCCTTTTTGATGGCGTGCAAAATGGCGCCCAGGTCAGTGATCTGCTTTTTCTGACCAGTTCTTGTTCTGACCTATGTACTCTCAGTCCTCCGCAGCACGCGGTGCTCATCATTGTTCTCCCGCACACAACCCTCGTAGTACTCGGCCACCCCTCCTCGAACGCTTTTCGTACCTCTTCCATCATTCTCACCGCGATACTGATGACGGAACCGAACTCCAGCGGCGCCCAAGGCGATCCTTCTCTCGTGGTCCTCCTATCATCGAAGTTGCCGCAGTAAAGGACAGAGAGGTATGTATTTCTTCGCTTGCATTTCCCATTGCTTTGGTTTAATGAGATCTGTCCAGGTTATATTTACTGCTCCGCCACCGCCACAAAAAACGCAGCAGCAAAGCCAATCACACAGTCAAGGATCGTCCACGACACAGCCTGCTTCAGGCTCTAATCCTACTACACCACGTCCAAGACATCCACATTCACTACCCGTCCGATTATTGGCTGATCTTGTGCTTTTGCTCTGCTGCGCATCTCCTCGACCCGCCAATGGAAATGCACATCCAACACAACAGCAGCAGCAAGGTCAGTCGGAAGGTCAAGCCCAGGGCCAGGCGTTATCATCTCAGACTCAGCCTGCTGCACTCTTGACATCCACGATGCTTCCTGCTCCTGCTCCTAGTACTGCCGCTTCAGGTGGAGCGACCGTGCAGTCACGACCTCTTCTACTGCGAGCTCGCTCCGTGCTATCTCTTTGTTGTGCATCTCCCCCACATGCCGATAGTCATTCATACAGGTATACAATTATTTCACATTTGCTTCTGGTTCTTCTGTACTCTTATATCTTTTTCATATCATTTCGCAACTATGCACGTCAATCCTGTTTCCTCGTCATGAGACTTGTGCAATGTATTGAACTCAACAATGACAACCATTGCAAGAGGAACATTTTAGAATCAATCAAGAGGATGAAAGTCCGCGACCTGCGTGGATGATGGTAGCTTTCCGATGATGTCAGTCTTTCGAGTCAGTTTTCACTTGTACTCTCGAGAGTCTTTTGTTCCTTAGCTATGAAATGATCCTTGCCGTACTTCCTCGTCTGCGAACCAACATGCGTTCCTCTGTACTTTTTCTTCGCTCTGCCGCCACACTCTAATACCAATAGAGCAGCTGAACTCCAGCAACGTCTCGTCGCGGCGGTCCTCGTATTGCTGAGGTTATCACAAGGACAAGACAAAAAGATATGTACTCCTTCGCATATGTTTTCTATTGCTGTTATTTAATGATTTGTGTCCAAGCTTTTTTTTTGTATCCATTTATGTCCATTGAAAGCAACTCTATGTAGGACAGTACTTTCTAGTCTAAGGGGCCCCTGTGCCCTGTCGCATCTATGGAGTCACGAATGCCCTGATGTGAGACGTGCTCCATCAGTCCGCCGTTCCCGCCAGCCGTTTTAGACGTGCCCCAGACTATGTGACTCAAAGAGTGGCACACAGGTGGACGATCACTGGTGAGAGGAAGGGGGTTGCGAGTGGAAGTGAAAATGGGACGTTGTGGGACGTCAAGATGGGGCGCAAGATTGACAGGGGACCATGACACTAGGGATGCTGCCGTCGGTACGCTAGAGGGGAGCGGATGGTACGATGAGATGGGAAGCTAGTCTGGGATGTAAGGGCTGGGAAGAATAGTCCCTGGACCAGGCACGAACATGTGTGGGCGATGTCGGTGATGCAATGATATCTCGTACGCTTTGGGACAGACGGGATCTGGGACGACGGAATAGTCTGGAGTTCGGTGGACCTCGGATCTTGTGGTTGAATTGCGAAGTCGCCTAGCCCGCGACGAAGGACGTCACATGCATGTGTATCAAATCCAATATACAGTTCTATAGAGTCTAGGCTATAGAAGAACCTTCTGGCTCCAACTCCGATGCGAATGACATAGGTTGCGGTGGCTCTCGCTGGCTTTCAATTTCCGATTAGCATGATCCTTATCCCCCTTTCTAATGGCATCATAGATCTTCAACTCGGAAACGCAAACTAAATTCTGGGTACTGAGGAGGAAGTAGTGTTACAATATTTGAAGAGAGAATGCCCAACACCTGGTATGTTACAGGTTCAACCAACTATTTAATCAATTTCAACAAAGCACTGCATTATCTTTGCGACTCCGCATTAGGAAGGTGTCGTAGTTCGCTGTGGAGATGGGTTAATTGGAGGCAACTTGACTGGGAGCCATCAGCTCACTTTTATGCGGCAATGATCTCGGAGTCACTGAGTTTGTCATATGGACATGGCGCCGGAACATTTTCATCTAGCAAGAAGTACTGCTTGAACTCCCGCGATCCTTCCTCGCCGAAGTTCTTCAGCTCGGGGCTGACAGGGATTGAATCGTACTTGGCGAGGAGGGCACGAACTTTTGCAAGCGCACCCGCGCGCTTTGCATCAGTGCTGAAGAGAATGTCAAAAACCCATTTTGGCTGGAAGGCTATAGTCAGGCCCGGCGCATAACGCGTGCGCCTGACCTGGTGAGCAGGAGTTTGGATGGCAGTAAAGTATTGTTCTCCGCCAAAGCAGAAGCACCATCTTTCCGTGTCAATGTCACGGGGTACAGTTGAAGGCCAGGCCTTCTCGTCCAGCTTGGCGAGACCGTTTAGGAGTTCCCAGAATAGAGTATTGTATTCCTGTACTGTTCGTGAGTTATTGTCATTTTTCTTGGCAAGAAGAACGAGGGAGTTGTTCGGGCCAAGCCGGTGAGCTTGAGGGATGTATGCAGAAAGTCCCTTGGCAAGAGTGCGGATATGACGTGGGTCCGATAAGTCATCTGAGTCGATGAACAAATAGCGTTGGCCATCTGATTTAAAGCCCTTTGTGGCATAGACGCAGGGGAAAATTAGTTCTTCATTGAGGAGAACTGCCTTATAGTCTTCGTAGGCATCACGCTGCCATGTTCCTTGTGGAAATGCTGCGGTGACTTGTGCTCTGAAATATATAAAAATTCAGACTACGGCCTCAAAGGGGTGCGCGCGTCCGTACCTTGTCAAAGGATTGCCCTGTTGGTCGTCTTGTTCGCCACCAGATGCAGCTCGAATGAAGCCCTGATAGTTGATCTTCAGTTCATAACATATGACCAAAGACGTCTGATACGGACAATGAAGTAGGATAATGTATTACGGAGCGTCTTCGGTACACTTCGAGATTTAATCGAGGCGACATTGGCAAGAAATGTAATCATAACGCCTCCAATGAGCGATACAGCTAAAGCGTAGATGTTGAACATGATTGAATTGGAGTGTCAAAAGTTGGAGTGCTGAAAGTTGAAGACCAGTGAAATTGACAATTGGCTGTACTACCTGCGTGAATATATATTGACATCGCCTGAAATCGTGGCAAATCCAGTGTGTGTGGTGACCAAGTCTGGTGAGTCTGGTGACCCTGTTATTGGCATTTGGACCTTTCTCGGTTCCTTCGAATGACTCCAAACCCTGAGCGAAAAAAGTCCGGACACCTCACGTCATTCACAATGAAAAGACCCTAGATTCTGTTCGACATCTTCGCTTCATCACTGAAATTCACTTAGCCTGATGCAGTCGAGTCATATTACCCTTTCAACCAACTTGTTTGGCCGTGACATACCCTGACATACCAGCGTATTGAGGCAAGAGCATGTGCGTAGAATGAGGTCCATGTAGGAACCGAGTAAGGTTGAGACGACGTTCATTATGAGGGCTGCTCAATTCATTCAGTTCGTGTTCACTTGATGCGAACATGGAAGTGCTGGGCATAGTAGTCACTGCCGAGAAATCCATAAAAAACCTGACAAAGAACGATTAATAACTCCTTCGGCAGCGCGAGAGTGGAGCACCAACTCGTGGCTTGATCGGCAGGTCGTGACCTCGAGCACACCGCAACAATAATAGCTGCTCCCACTAATTACGTAACTGTCAACAAATTTGCTCCTTGCAAGGCTTCAGCTCGAGTATATTGCCAGAGTCAACGAGCGGGGTGGAGCCGAATTATGAGTGCGCGGGCCGCGCTGGGTTCAAGACAGGTTTCGACTTGAGACATGCTAGGAAAACCTACTAACCATACAACCCCTCGAACCGAAAGGCTGACACTAGTAGTGCTTTACTTTCCGTTGCTGCGATTAGCAGACATTCCCCGCAGACGAGATTTAGACGAACGTTTTGCAAATTTCTTTTGCAATGGAAGCACTATGCAGTCAGTGCCGAGAAGTTGAGTAATGATCCTGCCCCGCGAGCGAAAACCGAGGAATGCTTGTAAAACCATTTGCAATGGGAGTCGCTAGGCTGAAAGGGGGAGTAGGAAAACGCTCGTCGTAACGCCGTCGAAGAGCATTCCTGGCAAGCGAGCATGGAAGTGCTAGGGTGTGGTCAGACTCCCTACATGATCGGCGGGTGCGTACCCGGCATCCGCTGACCAAATACAACCAAAGCGCTATTTCTCCGATGAGTGCCGCTTTGCAATTCTAAAATGACATTGTCAATTCGACTTGACCTTACGGCCATCCTCTCGCAAATTACTTAGGCAGACTCAACCTAAAAATGTTTAGGAATACTACTATGCCTGACAAGGTATAATTGAACGCTGCTAGTATGTATTATAACTTGAAGGGCTGCTGGTACGCTACTTACTTATGTAGCGGATATTTTTCTCGGCTCGTCCCAATATTAAAAGGATCAATCAGGATCAGCCAAGGATACGCAACAAGAACTACCACTGGAATATTACTATTAATTATATACTACACCCTAGCATTTCCATGCTCGTTTGCCAGGAATGTTCTTCGACAGCGTTACGACGCTTGCCTACTACCCCTTTCAGCCTAGCGACTCCCATTGCAAATGGTTTTACAAGCATCCTCGATTTTCGCTCGTGGTGCAGGATCATTACTCAACTTCTCGGCACTAACTGGATAGTGCTTCCATTGCAAAAGAAGTTTGCAAAACATTCGTCTAAATCTCGTTTGCGGGGAATGTCTGCCAATCGCAGCACGGAAAGTACAGCACTAGTGTCAGCTTTTCGGTTCGAGGGGTTGTGTGGTTAGTAGGTTTTCCTAACATGTCTTAAGTCGTTGAACGCGAACTAAATGAATCGAGCAGCCCTCATAATGAACTCCAGTCGTCTCAATCTCACTCGGTTTCTACCCTCACACTTACGTAGAAGATCAACGATGTGCACAATATATATAGTGTGGTTTTTGGTCTGTTCTTACTAGACGAGATATATTCAACATATTCAATCTCCAATCCCAGGTGCGCTTACCATGGATTTCCAAGGAGACGTGTTTGGCTATTTGGGTCGAAAAATCATCGAAGATTATGATGATGCTCTCCGCAAAAGCATTCATCCACTCACCGCGACTCCTCGTGAAGAGACCTCGCAGATACCTGCGCTCCCTGAGCGTGGTTATGGCCCGCTGGATACAGTTGGAATTCTAGGTGCAGGAGTTGGTGGTCTATACACCGCCCTTATCCTAGATTCGCTGAACATCGACTACGAGATCTTGGAGGCGTCGGACCGCACCGGCGGACGCCTCCTCACCTACAACTTCCCGAATGGTGGTAAATACGACTACTACGTATGTCGCTCATTCCATGTTGCTGCGCCCCAAAGATGCTGACCATGTAAACTCTTGGCTTTCATGCTAACTAGGATGTTGGCGTCATGAGGTCCCCCCTGTCATAGAAGGACGCTCAGGGCAATTACAAGATTGGAATTATGAGGCGCTTGGGCGAGTTGATCAACTACTCGAAGCTCAACAAGGGTTTATCGAAGGTATCTCTAAGCTCCCAACTTATCGATTATCATTTTACGTCAAAGAGACAAGGGCATTTCCTCTACTTCAACGATCAACGTTATCAAGTCTCTCGGACATCGTGTGACTTTCGTGCCCGAGAAATGGGTGTGAATTCTCAGTTCGCCGCGGGAGTTGAGAATATTGTCTAGGACGTCATTCGGCCGTTCGCTAAGGACCTCATTAAAGACTTGGAGCAAAATGTCCATTCGGGCTGGCGCAACTTAATGAAGCACGATGCATACTCGCTTCGCTCATTCATGTCATTCAAGTACACTCCCAGCGCCAGCCTCCAAATTCCGCGCACGCATCTTTCCACCAACGTTATCAATTGGTGCGAAACATTCAATGACAGCACAGGCTCGTATGACCGCGGTTTAACTGAAGCGGTTCTTGTGGCGCTGGTGGAGTCGCAGACCCTTGAAGACGTAGAATGGAAGTGTTTCAAGTAAGCGCACTTCTGTCTTAGAACTCATGCACAGTCTCACACATACCATTACCATACCCAGAGGTGGTTCTCAAGTGCTCACCGACTACATGGTGGCATACCTTACTGCTAACGGTACCAAGCCTATCATCCAGTTCAATAAGAAGGTCACGAGCATCCTTCAGAGTGGAGACATCGCAATGGATGTTTCTGTGAGGGGCGAATGTAGCCCGCGCACATATTCGCACGTTATGTCGACTATTCCTCTTCCGAGCCTACGGATGATCGAACTAGGAGGTGCTGGTTTAAATGTGATGCAGAAAAATGCATTGCGTAAACTGCAGTACGGTGCTTCACTCAAGGTTGGCATGCGTTTTCGATCGGCGTGGTGGACCGAACTTTTCGGACTGGGCAATTGATTCATAAGTATATGGAATTGCCTCCTGCGAACAGAGCACGGTGCTGCGGAAGAAGAGGAAGGAGAAAGAACGAAAAAACTTACAATGTGTATGTGTATGTAATTAATACAGCAAGTACTGGATTTGTGAGACAAACGTACGCGAGTTACGTGAGTGCTTCGAAGTGCTTGATGGACCTCAATATTAAATTCCTATGTCCACACCTTTTTATCAAGGGTGGAGCTTAGCCTGGACGTCTGATGGAAAGAAACTCATCTCCGGTTCATTCCAGATTAGTATATCCGACACAGCGGCCGCTTGGGAGCAGATCGCCATCCTGAAGGATCATGACGACCTCATCAACACCATCTCCTTGTCTCGCAACAACCGCCTCCTTGCAAGTGCATTTGTTGATCACACAGCTCGTCTATGGAATCTGGACACCAACCTCCCAGTCGGACCACGCATCCAACATGAAGGTGATGTACGCTGCGCAGCACTTTCCGCTGATGGAAAGCTGCTAGTCACTGTTTGTGAAAACGAAAACGCGTACACATGGGACATTCACGCCACCCTCCAACCTTTATTTGATGTAAAATCCATGATTCTTCAGTCAAAACTACGCTGATCTCCCGCTCGCAAGTTGCAGCTTTCAGGTCCGGATGAGTGCCGCTTTGCAATTCTAAAATGACATTCTGAAAGGATCAATTAGGATCAACCGAGGATAAGCAAAGGAGTAACGACGCCCTTGTGCTTCATTATTGAAGAAAGGACACTAACGAAATAAAACGAACGCGCTACAGGCATACCCATGTCCGAAGAGTCAAGATTGTTGGAACGTAGGTCATGACGCAGACTCGGATTACAAGGCATAGACTCCCCGATGTTCTGAATACTGCGGCGGAAGTTCAATTATACCATTGTCGTCTGGCACAACGTCATCAGCGTCGACATGCACAATAATTCGGGTAGGAGGTTGGTAGTCTGTATGACTGGCCGCCGTTGCGGCTGTTTGTGCGCTAGCCGACGCCACGGATTGACTTCCAGATGCTCCATGCACCGCAGAGCTATCTGTGTCAGGGCTCTGACGGGAATTTTGTGCCTGACTGAAGGGTCTGGGAAGGTCCTTAGCCGCCAAGTCGGCAGCAGACGCATCAATAGGGCTTGGTTGGGATCTGGATTGAAGGGGTGGGCCAAGGTAGCTAACAGGATCTGTCTCCCATGGTAATGGTAATGGCGTTTCAGCGACGGTAGCCATTCGCCTGTCAACAGATGACATAGTAGCCGAACTTCGAGCGTCTCCATACATCGCGAAGTCTGCGTTTGAGCTCTGGCGTGAATGCAGTGTGGGACGGTCGCTGACTGCGAAGTTTCTGGTAGAGGTATTAAGAGGGGGTGATTGGCTGTCAGGTCGAATGGGTGCAACGGGGGATTGTAACGGGGGATTTGGTGACATTGGTTGAGACAATGCAGCCATTCGGTTGTGAGCGGATGACATGGTCGAAATTCGAGCATCCCCGTAGACAGGAAAGTCTGCGTTGGAGCTCTGGCGCGAATGTTGTGTCTGGTTTAATGATGAAGGAGGGGCACCAACTGCGAAGTTGCCGGCGGACGAATTGGTCAAGTCACTATAACGGCTGACTTCGTGTTTTGGATCTGTATGCTGTAGTCGACGTGGATGGCTTATTGTGGAAGACTGAACGTCCGGAAAGTGAGACGCTCTCCGTTTACGCCACAAGCACATGCCAAGGATGATCAATGCAATAAGGACTGCCCCACCGCCGCCCGCTGCGCCTGCGATAAGAGTAACATTACTGCTTGATGAGCTATTTGATGAACTGCTTGAACTAGATGTCGATGAAGCTGTGGCTGTGGCCGATATGCCTGTAGTGGATGACGGCGAGTTGCCGCTTAGGCACGAGGAATTACTCGACCCTGAGACCTGCTCGGACCCAGAGACACCACCTTGTATGCCCTCGGAGTCGGTGACGAAATACAGGAGGTCCGTCCCTGCGTTAACGTCTACGACGAAGGTAAAAGTGTCGTTATTCGAATAGAATACGGCTGATTGTCCGGCAGGAATAAGTTGCTGTGGCGAGATAAGTAGATTGTTTTGATAGAATTGGTGATGATCTGACCACAATAGTAATGGGCAGGACTGGACTACCATTAATGGTCAAAATGGTCGATAGACTGCAGTAGTGGTAGGTCAGTGCCACAAAAGTAGGCGAACCAAACCGTAATACCTGCATTGCGTCAGCGGGGATAACGACGAAAACGCAAACTCAAAAGGAGGTGCAGAATCTGGAATGTAGCAGTTGTTATTTGTAACCGGATTTCCAACAGTTAAGTTGTTTGTCGTCCCACCCGAACCGAATCCGGTGGCGTCAGACATAGTGAGTAGAAATGTTTTTCCCGCAGACAACAATAATGGCGATATTGAATAAGAGCCTTTGCCATTGCTGAAGGCTGATGATGGTACAGAATAATTCTGATACATTTCCAAAGACTAGACAGCACAAAGATTAATGCGAGATCGATGCGCTTGAGACGATAGCGCAGACGAACGGGAGTTATGATTATCTCAAATGGTGCTTGCCCACCTGACAACCCCGATAAAATTCAGCAGGAGTGTATAAGATGTACCAGATATGCACTTACCAGTCCATGAAATGGTGAGAGGATCACATTGAGTGGGAGTCCCAACAGTCACACTGAACGCACGCACAACAGAGAGACAAGAAGTAATATACGTAAAGAAGCGAACGAAGTGCATACTCAAGAAACGAGGAGGGTGGTAAGAAGAGACGCAGGTGTAGTCAAGGGATATCTTGAAAGGGGGGGATCAGGGCAGACTCGAGGTGAGGGGAAATCGCGTCCTAGATAACGCTGACCCGGTGAGAATCAATCACCATATAGCCTAATCTGCAAAATACCGTTGGACAACGACATGAACCAGCCGAAAGGCTGTTCGTGATCATTGATAGTACGCCACCCTCGGATTCTTCCACTCACAAGTTTCCTTAACCCCCCCCCCCCCCCCCCCACACACACACACACACAAATAACTTTCGATGTTTGAAACATGGTAGCAAGAGAATGAGGGCTTGAGTCGTGCCCTATGCATTTCATAGAATAAGTAGAAAGAGCTAGATGGGTGACCGTGACGTACTTATAAACCCAGGTACTTAGTGCCATAAATTTAGTGTTGCTGGGTAATCGATGGTCAAATATGCAACATGCTGTAACATGCTTTTGATTGACGCGCGACACCGAATCCTCGGGTCTGATATTCTGCATTCCGATATCATGGCCAGCCAAGAGCGGCTCTGAGTGGATGCACGAAGGATGTAGCGGTGGTGTGTAGATCACCGTGCCGCAAATGCCGGCACCAGCGGCAATCAACTGGGGTGGGTGTCGACGTGCGGGAGGAATGCATCCGAGAGGACACCTCGCGGAAGCAGGTACCGATGCAAACGGTCTATTCAAGAAGTGTGCGCTATTATCACTCCGCCACCATTCGGCTGCAAAGCCGTGGCGAAAACTAGGTACTAGCAGTGTCCCCGACTCCCATGTTAGTGGGAAGATGGTTTGTTGACAGATCCAAATCTCCAGGCACCTAGTATACGGGCCTCGAGCCTCATGTATGGGAACCCTTTCGACAGTTGTTAATGAAATTTGCTGTAGAGATTCGATTATTCGAGTCATTCGACACCAGCACGTGACAAAGTCATGCTTAGCGCCATAGGATACCATGTTCGCAAGACAAGTTCTAGTTGATATGATGGTAGATTCGATAGATCGCGTTAACGTCTCTCAAAGACAGTGTCGATACTCAGGTCGTGCGATACAAAATCTGGGGATGTAGATGTCTGATGGAGATGTGCATTTGAGAGGGGAGGATGGTGTAACACCTATGATACATCCTGTCGGCTGTTTGATGTAAACGGGTATCTCCTTGGAAAACAAGATAACCTGCAAACGTGCTGGAAGAGTTGATGACATCGAGTTCAGGGGTAGACTGGATGGAATATGCAGAGTGAGTAGGGAGTGCAGCACCCAGCCGGATGTTTCCCATAACCATCAACGTAGTCTTATGTATGGGAAGATGCACATAGCGCCGGTCGCAGACCTGAGCGCTTGATCTATACAGCAATAAGCTGTGAAGCGAACATGAGGATGACGCATGGGACAAATCATAAAATATGGCTTGAACGAACGAGTATCCAGTTTCCTAAACTCCCAACCAGACGCCCTCTAATCGCTCGCGATTGAGCACTGAGTTCGTCTAGACGGTGCTTCCCATGAGTGATGCTCTAGACTCTTATGTAGGCTAAAGCTGACCACTTGCCTACCAGCGAGCCGCAAAATCAAATCTCTCGTACATTCTTGAACAAAAGCGCAGCAACTGCTGCATATACAGTCCCGAAGTTGTCTTCTGGGTGAAGACTGGGTTCTGGAAGTGAGCTGTCCCACGAGAAATGATTCGCGTGCTTCTGACAAGAATTAAAGTCGTAGAAGATAGGCTGGACTCATCAGGGATTATTACCATTGCCGGATAATACGGCCCGATTCAAAGATCCCAGCACACCTCTCTCGCGAATAGTCTTCGATCTACCGTAGTTGAGACTCCAAGCTCAGACCATGTCTTCCTCCACCAATAAGACGATAGAAATCACGCCATGTCAGACGTTTCGGGGCCATACCGCTCATGTACGTGGTGCTGTGCATCTGAACGGCGGACAACAGATCATCACATGTTCGAGGGACGGCTCACTCTGACTATGGGACCTAAAGAGCAGCGCACAGATAGGCGAGAACTGGCAAGATGAGAATGACGCAGGAGTGTTGTCCATAGCATTGTCTCCAAATGGCAAGACAGTCGCAAGTGGAAGCAACGATAGAACTGTGAAGTTATGGGACATCGAGATGAGGAAGGTCATCGCCAAATGGGAAGGACACACCAATATTGTGTGTGCACTGTGCTGGAGTGGAGATGGTAATCAAGTACTGAGCGGGTCCTGGGATGGGACGGCAAGAGTCTGGGATGTCGAGAGCGGCAAAACTGTCCTGACAGTCAAAACCGGGCATAAGTGGGTGTGTGCGGTGAAATACTCGCCCGATGCAACAAAAGTCGCAACAGCCGGATGGGACGAAAATGCAGTCAAAATATGGGATGCAAAGACCGGCAAGCTGCTCAAAACGCTCAAACACAATGATGAAGTTTGGAGCTTGGCCTGGACGTCGGACGGAAAGAAACTTATCTCCGGTTCACGTCTGATTAGGATATTCGACACAGCCACCTGGCAGGAGATCGCCGTCCTTGACTCTTTGGGTCACCTTGTCACCGTCATCTCCTTGTCTCACAACGACCGCCTCCTTGCAAGTGCATCATGGGATCAAGTAGCGTGTCTATGGAACCTCGACACCAACCTCCAAGTCGGGCCACCTCTCCGGCACAAAAAGGATTTGCGCTATGTAGCCCTTTCGGCTGATGGAAAGCTGCTAGTCACTGGTTGTCTGGACAAAAACGCGTACACATGAGACATTCACGCCATCCTCAAAGAAGCTGGTCTCGAAGACCTCCTCCCTGATGTAAAGCTCATGGTTCTTCAGTGAGAAATACACTAATCTCTCGCTTGTAGGTTGCAGCTCAAGAGTCATTAATGAACGTACGTGATTTTTTCTCAACCTTCCCAATGGTCATAACATTGATATTCTATCTAGGCGGATGTCACGCAGGCTGAGGATGATGAACTTTCCGCCAGGCTTTTTCAATGACGTGACATATGGTGCTTATGTGCGTCATCAGCATTTTTAATCGGTTCCTGTTCTGACCTCTTGATCTCAGTCATCCAGAATGTACGGTAACCATTACCATTCCTCTTCCCGCCGTCCCCGCCCTCTCGCACCCTCTTTGGGGAGTGCGAGTGCGCTCTTTGGTCGCCTTTGGTCGCCTTTCCGCCGCTCTCACCACAATACCAACGATGCAATCGAACTCCAGCAACGATCAAGACAGTCCTTTGTCTCTCGTGGTCCTCGTATTGTCGAAGTTGCTGCAGTCAAGGATAGAGAGGTATGTATTTCTTTGCATGCATTTCCCATCGCTGTGGTCTAATGGTTTCTGTCCAGGTTATATTTACTGCTCCGCCGCCGCCAGAGAAAACACAGCAGCAAAGCCAATCACACGGACAGGGGTCGTTCACGATACCGCCTGCTTCAAGTACTAATCCTACTATACCACGTCCAAGACATCCGCATTCACTACTCGTCCGGTTGTTGGCTCATCTTGTGCTTTTTCTCTGCTGCGCATCTCCTCAACAAACACGCTGATGTCAATACACAACTAACACAGCAGCAGCAAAGCTAATCGCATGGCCGAGTCTAGGCCTAGGCGTCATCATCGCAGGCTTAGCCTGCTGCCGCCTCAACATCCGCTATACCTCCTCCTGCAAGTAGTCCTACCCCACCAAATACTCCAAACGTGTAGTCACGACCCCTTCCATTGCAGGCTCGCTTCGTACTTTTCTTTGTTGTGCATGATCGCCGCGCTGCAGCATATGGACACTTATTTCATCTTTGCATCTGGTTATTTCGTAATGATTGTTATCTCTTTGTTCGTGCCGAGAGTGCGTATTTGATTTCCACAACCTCCTCAATTTCAGGTTGCTTTCAACGCTATGCCATGGAGTCTTAGTCTTAATCTCAAGCAGTAGAAACATATCCTGGCTGCAAATCGTGGTGCTCCACGTCTCGTGCACCAGTCTTCCCATCTGATCTATTCCTCGGGAATCCGATAGTAAGTATTCACATCTCCTTCGGACTGAATCGTTCCCTCCCAACCGCAGTTCCTGCAAGTTCTGCATACTGCCCGCCTAATTTCAACACACTATGCTGATCTCGCAGCGATTTACAGGTGATACCGGAACCGGTCTAAGTATACCCTGCGGGAGGTGCATAGACTGGAAGGCTCGAGCTCATTTGTAGACGTCCACAGTACTAGTATTATAAAATAAAGCTACCACCTGGTCTTCTAGATGATGTAGTAGAATTGAGCCTGACGAACAAGACCTTTCCGTTTAATGATGCATCGATGAAAGGTCAGGTGGCGGCCAAGGTCAAATGTAAATTGCAAACGATTGGGCCACAACAAATCAATGTTTGACATGTTGACGAGACGAGTCTGATAATCGATGCAATAGGAACGGAGTATGAGATTGTTCGTGAAATTGGGCTAGACACGATCTGAGAAACACGCAATAAACGTCGGCGCGAATCTGTGTGCTTGATATGTACCCTAGTTGGAGCGCTGGATCTCTTTAACCCACGAAAGAGATCCAGAAAGTGTTGATTATGATTTTAATTCACTGGGAAATCTTGCTAAAGTCGGACTTGGTGATGATCATTCTTTAACGGGAGGTCATATTGGCCTTCGAAAGGGGGTCAGGCAAGCACAAAGATCGGCACGGTCGAAATCGTCATCATGGGGCTGATGTGATACGTTTTCACTTAAATTCGGCAGGGAAACCGGACACGATATTTGCTATCCAACCTGGACTCGGTGTAACATTTGAACTGTTATCAGCGTCCAACCACACCTCAAAGTACAAAAAAGCGGTGAAATGACAGCACTCACTGGATGGTAAGCGACCATAGTATTAGCAGAACAGTGTTAGGTGGTAGGGAAAGCAGTGAAGTGCCATATTTTTAAAGATATGCATGCATCATACCGTATCGTCATAATATCCATGGTGACCACGCGCAGAGCATGCGACAATGCAGGATTAGCAAGTGGAGGTGGATATAAGTTTACTCTTCTTCCTCCTCTTCCTCCTCCTCTTCGCCTTCCTCCTCTTCATCCTCCTCCTCCTTGGCAGCCTCAACCACAGCAGTTGCGATACGGTCCAAATCCCGTTGGCCATCTTGGCTTATCCGTCGTCCACCATTATCGGTCTGCTCCAAAACACCGATCTTCTCTAGCGACTGGCAGACTTTTCTTTGGACGGAGGCAGAGGAGTCGGCGTGGTGTGATGGGCGGTTGCCGCGTCTGTTGCGACCACCGTGAAGTTTTGTCAATGCACCGATACCGACGTCTTTGCGGAGGTAGATGTGCCGTGCAACAGCAGCTGATTATGATCGCTCTTTAAATTTGTTCTCTGATGAAGGGTACTGAATGCAACGCACCTGCACGGACGTAGTACCAGTCTGGGTCGTAAGGCGCAAGCTCCTTGAAAGACCCGGTTTTAACAATGTCGACCCATGTAGGGACCTCAAGCTTTCCCGACCGCTTGAGATGGGAAGCATATGCAACAATGAAAGCCTCGGCGCTGCAAGTGATATTCACGATTAAATCTTGGACCGATTCGATATAAGTCAATGACATACCTGATATCTCTTACTCCTGGCATATTGGATAGTGGGAAAGACAACCGTGAATAACCTTGAGGAAAGTAACGCGGAACGTTTCGCGCGACGGTTGGCGGCTTGTGTACGACTCTGAGAATTAGAGTTCAGTACTGAGTTCAAATTCAGCCACCGCTGTGCAGTTTTGAGATTAGTCATCAAGTCTGCTGCATTCGCCTCGCGTCTACGATGAGAAACACTTCGACGAATCAACATTCAGCTAGACTCGACACATTGATCATGATGGATGATGCATATGGTCGATATCGATAGAAGGTCGACAGAAGATTGAGCAGCTCGCTATCCAACGACATGATTTGCCATTATTTTCATCGCAGAAAATGATCAATGTAGGCGTGTCGCTCGCAATTCGAATATTTCTGCACACGTTTAGGTGCACGTTGCGTTCAAGTGCAGGCAAGGATATTTGAGCCTCATTTGATCTGACTGGCAGGTTTTTACACGCGCCTCACCGACTACGACTTCAAGCTTCTGCTTATGTAAACTGGATATTTTCGTGTGGTTTCTCTTCTGAAGCTGTGCACGGTACCATGATCATATCCACCGTTAACAAGGATACTCACAGTTTCCCTCCTTTTTCCTCTTTACCTCCAGAATTACTCATAGAGATCTTTTCAACTTGCAGCCTCACAGGTGACTGGCACACCCCCCTCACGCTATCCAAAGTCTGCTGTTTATGGAGAGACTTGATTATATCGTCACCGTGCATATGGCAGATGATCGTCATACTAGACTCGAGGCGTACCATGTCCTCCATCCGTACTCAGGCAGAGCTATGGATCGCTCGCTCTTCACCTCTTCCATTCAATGTAGTCTTCAAATTAACAGATTTCGAGCGACTGCTACCCATCATGTCTTGCTTCCTCCCTAATCTCGCCCGTTGGATGCGCTGCACTATCACTTATGATGGGAGAATTATCGAGACATCCTTATCAGACCTCACCCTGTCCTCGCCTCGTCGCATACTACATCATCTCGATATTATTCTCAAGACTCCCTTCGAGGACGTCGCAGGTGATGATGGAGATGATATCATCTTTTTCTCCTGCGGAAGCACGACATACCGTCACATATCCATCAAAGTAGCAACAACCAAACTGCCTCATGCAGAAATGGTCAACCCCCTATTATTCACATCACTCCACATCTCAGAGACGGCATTCGAATGCTCCGTCCGGTCGCCGGACCTCCTTCGTTTTCTTGCACATTGCCCGAACTTGGAGCATTTATATTTTCACGGTTTGTCCAATGATGAAGGCACTCTTGATGCGCCACCTCCTGCCATCGCCCTTCCGCGATTACACACGCTCCTCCTAGACCAAATTTGCAATCAGCGCAGCATCCTCTCGCATCTCTACCTCCCTGCATTACGAGAGCTTTATCTGCGTCACATCAACGTAGACGACCAACTCGAGCCATACCACGTCCCTGAAGAGGGTGACAGCGATGACGAGGCCCATGACTTTTCCCAGTCCCCACACAGCGACCTTCACACTGGCATGGGTATCCGCAAGCTCTTATCGCGCTCACGCCCCCCGCTCGAGATTCTAGACATGGATCTATCAGATATGCGTACCAAAGACTTCCGCTGGGTTTTTGATAAGCTGCTTGACCTAAAACAGTTCTCCATCGTCGGGTCTGATATGTCGGATTCGGTGGTTGCGTTGTTTGCGCCTTTTGCTGTTGGAGATGGGGATGGCAGGACAGGGAGGGGATGAGTGTGCGTCTGCCCAAGCTTTCTGTTCTCAAGATGTACAGCTGTCAACAGCTTTCGGGTGATGCGCTGGTGAAAGCCTTGAGTGCACGCGTCCGCTACACGGATCATGCAGCGCCAGATGCTACGCTGGGGACAATAGTCATTTCAAGCTGCAATAATTTTACTGCGAGTCATGCTCAAGAGTTGTCCTGGGATTTGCACGATCGTCTGCATCTGTCGTGATGCTGTCTTTGATTTGGAATAACATTGTTAGGGATTATTGTAAGGACACGCCCTGTCGATGCACATAGATGTATTTATACTGTATTTGCTCTGTTGTGTATTACTAGTACTTAAGTTACGAGTATCGGAAGAAGTTTCGACCTTCCCTTGGTTGAAACGTATGATATAGAAGGAACCACTGTTATTCCATCTGTTATGACCTGACTGGGGAAGATTAGTCGAAGCAGGCGCAAAGAGCGTACCGCCTCATTCATCTGGCCAGCGTCTCGTTCCTATGACACTGTTAGTATGAACCTGCGCCTCAACAAAGCACCCCACCTAACAGGAAAGGCAATCTGTTGTCTCTCCGCCGACTCCCTCAACAGACGTCGGACATCCACAACGTTCTCGTAGTTGGCCCTCCACACATTATCTCCATCACGCTCACCCCAATGGAAAGTATGAAACGTATCCACCTCGTATCCTTCCTCCCACTTCTGCCTCACAAAAGACGCATTGAACGGCGGCTGATATATCCACCACTGTCATCCCACAACCAGTCAGCACACACATTACAGAAAGTAAAAGCCCGCCAAGCCTCACATGGTCCACAAAGAGAATCGGCTCGTGGTGAGGCACGACCAAGTGCAGCGCTGTAGGCGTAGCAATCTCAAGGAAGCAAGTCGTTTCAAGGAACAAGCCTAATACTTCCATGAATATCTTGCGATGCCGCCCTGGAATGTACATCGTATCTGCAGAACCTCCGATGAGCCGCGTTTCACCATTGGTGAATGCAGCGAGGCGTTCTCTCAAGTGCACGGGTACTTTCTGGAAAGCTTCCATGCAAACTCCGACTCCCACATGTGGATCCCTATAGATGTTATCAGATAAGCGCAGGGAAATACCTTGTGAATTAACTCACCCCCACCTACAATAGATAATCAGAAATATCGATGAGAGTTTATCAGAATGTCACGTACCACCAGTCGGATCCCCATCCCCTCCAGGATTCCGTGAGATTGATAGACGTATCCGGGGATACGTTGACAGGGGGAGCATGCAAGCCAAGGCTGAGGTTATTATCCTGTGCAGGGTTAAAAACAGGCAGGCCCCATGGTGAATGGTACCAAAAGAGTTCTTGGTCAAACTTTTCCAATCGCGGAATATTCAGCAGTGTGTCAAACGGCACCCATAGGTAGCCATCATAACAGTCTTGCTCCTGGAGAGCAGTGTACAGCATATGATGAGCCATCTATGTGACTGATGAGCACCAGGCACACGAATTAAAATCCTCGGAGCACACACGCGTCCTGCCATCTTATAATATGATGGATCACTTAGATCCTCATCAGAGTGGTACGAGTCTACAAAGACATCATAGGAGTGATCAAAGCCGGAGTCCTCGCGGGAAACAGGTCCAATGTAGAGAATCTAGCATCAGGTATGTGAACTTGTCCAAAAGACTTGGTCGCGCAGCACTCACATTTGGAAAATAATCAGAATATACTTCTCGGTGGTAATCCAGGTTGGCACCGTAACGAGCGTGGCTGAAGAAGACTACTAGCAGGATATTGTCGAAGCGGTTATAATTTGCCAGTGTTTTCTTATGCGAATGAGACGGTAAAGGCCGGCGATGACAAGCGTCTGGCTTAGACTCCGAGGTGAAGCCCCACTGCGAGTTCGGGGCGCGTAGTGTCCACGCATTCTCATGTGTCATTACGAATGGTACAAGAAGCAGATATCCAACTAATGTCACCGCAAATACGACCGGGTACCGACTCGGAGGCTTGATTTTTTATATCAGCTCAAGAGTAGGTCATCTGTGGAGTTAGCCTACTCGAGTCACGCATTCAGATCCAACATCTTCCTCCGTGGCCTGTCTTATGCTGGAGACATATACGCCCGCTGCTGTTAATGCGAGGAGACATCCCATGAATACAACTGGCTCGTCGAGGAAACCTGCGGTTAGCGAGAAAAGGACGACGGTCGAGGCGAGCACGGTCATGATGCTTCCTAGAATGACATTGTAATCTGATGGCCTAAGCACGAGACACGCACGAGACACAAAAAACTCACAGTATATGACATAGAGTGCCGATATGTCTCGACCGGCCTCCGATAGACATGACAGAGCTAGTGCGATCAGATCTGCGTGCGATCCCAAACTATGACTTCCAGTGTTAAGGAAGGTTACGCTGAAAATATAGAGCGATAAATGGACAAGACAGTTGACCGTGAAGATGAGCAGGTTGATGGCATCGAAAAATGACGGATGGTGTGATTTGTAGACCTGTGTGTGCAGCGGACTCTACATCGAACTTCAGTCCAAGTGTGAGATTTTATGACTTACAATATCAACCAGGGTGTCAGAAAACGAGATGCTGAGCGCAGAGACAAGCAACGAGAGATCTGGCAAGTCACTTGAGCGGCTAATGAAACCGCTCTGAATAAAATTAGAGAGTGGTTCAACTACTGGCGGTAGTTGCCTCACCCGAGCGATGAATACCCCACAAAACTGAATTTTATCAGTACTCAGGAAGATTACTATCTAACCAGTTTCCTGGAATTACATACCTGTAGAAGAGCAGCATACCACAGTTGTGGAGTATACGTTCTACGAAAGAACACACGCAGCACAAATAGCGAACAGAGACTCGCCGCGGGGATTACAAGGTATGGCGCAAGTGGATCGGTGTATTCTCTGCTTTTAGAAATCTATGAGAAATATGAAGTCGTCGTAATTTCCCTGGGATGAAAAAAAAAGCGCCGGACATACCACATAGGCCCGACTCGCGTACAGCGTGGAAATGACAAGAATGGACAAACTCAAGCGCCAGCCATTAAGACTCGGCCAGTCAAGCCTTAACCGAGGATATATTTGTGCCAATTCATTGAGTCGGATCCTGAGAGTAAAAGACTCGTGACTGCCCTCGAGTGGGATATTAATATTGCTCAAAGGCTGATCTTCGTTGTTGTGTGGGCAGGGATCGAGCGAATCATAGCGAAAGTATTTTTGTCTCGCGGAGTATAAACCAAATGCAGCGAATAGTTTAATGGCTTCGGTGACAGCGAGATGGATGTGGATGTCGACAGGAGTTCCTGACTTGTGGTCGACCAGAATTTCGGATGAGACCCAGAGAACAAAGAATCCAATCTAGTAACGATCATCGATGAGCTGGGCGGTGTTGAACATGATCTCAGATGTCAGTGACTGACTGGAAGAAGAGCTTTATTCTGCGAAAAATTGTAGTGAAAAGAAAAGAAATGCATGGGCGGCAGGCGAGGAAGGACCAGCATGGTCTGTGCTTTGGGTTCGGTTCTGCCACCCGGCTGGGCGTGCGCTGTTACAATAATTGGAATTATCCCTGATGCCGAGGGGAGTGTAATGCTAATAGACCAGAAAGAAAAACGACGTGCGGTAGTGTCAGCGAGTTCAAAAGGTGGTTTGAATTTGGCTGGACGGAACGTGGTCGTTTCGCAACTCGCAACTCAAAGCCGGACCCGGCGCAAGAGTGCGAACTTGTTCGCAGTATATGCCAACCTCCACCAAGTACTATGCTATGAAACCGTGACACTCGGCTATTCACGATGAAATTCATGAAGGTGACAGATTAGCCAAAGATGGGCATGGGCGTTTATCAGAAGATGCTTCGGTCGCAACGCACAAATGTCCGAGCAAGACCTTACTGCAAACAAGTACTGCTGAAAGACAAGACATTTCTCTAAATAAAATAGTGTACATTTCGATATCTACATATGCGATTGAAAATAAAAATAGCTGATGATGAACAGTAAAACCAACACATAATGCACACTGCATTAGTGGCTGTTGACGACGTCGATGCCACCGGCATCATTAAGCTTCAGTTCCTTCACGCCGTTAGCCAGAGGCTCCAAGCCTTTGGATTTTCGAGAAACCAACTCTCGGCGAGCGCGAACACCTTCACGCAAACGCTCAAGGGCGGGGACGGTCATGTCCCAGGACAGACAAGCATCGGTGACTGACTGGCCATATTTGAGGCCAGCAGGACCACTCGACGGTACATCTTGCCGCCCCTCGACGAGATTAGATTCAAGCATAACACCCATGATGAACGCCGACGTGTCCTGACTCTCCAGTTGTTGCGCCTGAATGAACAGTAAACAAAAATACATAAAAAAAGTCCGGGAATGCTCACGATATCTTCTACAACTTCTATCTGCCTACGATGTTGTTTTTGGCTGTTTCCGTGACTGCAATCAATCTGAATTTGGATCATATCAACGATGGTGATATCCTGAATATAACACTTTAAAATTACCATGATTTTACAAGGAAGACCAGCTTTGGAAAGCTTCTCGCCACAGTCACGGACGTATTCTGCGGTATAATTAGGGCCTTTAGAGCCCCCACGCAAGATTACATGTGTGTCCGGGTTGCCCTACCAAAAGTTAGTCGCTGCCGAGGCGTTTAAAAGGGCTAAATTGCCGTACCTCGGTTTCGATGATACTGCTAAGGCCTTCTTTGCCCACACTAAGGAAGACATGACCACTCCGAGCGGCACGCGATGCATCTATCGCAATGCTAACGGATCCGTCGGTCGAATTTTTGAATCCAGTGGGCATCGACAGTGCAGAGGTCAGCTCTCGGTGCACTTGAGATTCCGTGGTGCGGGCGCCAATAGCTCCCCATGATACTAAATCGGCAGTGTACTGAGGCGAAATTGTATCGAGGAACTCGCAGCCAGCAGGCACACCAAGTTTGGCAATATCTAAAAGCAGACTGCGTGCAATGCGCAGACCCTTGTTGATCTGGAAACTACCATTCATATCGCTATTTCATCATGATTAGCATTCGTTGGTCGTGAAAAAAACGGAAACACACTTACGGATCGTTAATCAAACCTTTCCATCCGACAGTCGTCCGAGGTTTTTCAAAATACACGCGCATAACAATGTGCAAGTCGTCCTTAGCCACGTCTGCATAGGCTTTGAGCAGTTTTGCGTATTCGATAGCCGCACCCGCGTCGTGAACCGAGCAGGGACTAATGACTACAAGTCAGTCAAAACTCAACTGCGCATCAATAGTTCATACCCAACCACCACCATCAGCCGGTCATCATCGCCTCTGAGTACATTTTCGGTTGCCCGACGTCCCTCAATTACGGTGTTCGCAGCAAGAAAAGTCCTGCATGTACGTTGGAAATTAGAATATCATCATTAAAAAGTAAAAGTACGCACAAAGGGAGGTCTTCCTGCAGGATTTGAGGTGGAATTAATGGACGCGTCGCTTTGACGCGACGGTTCTCAAGCCGTTGAAGTGCTTCTTTGAAAGAAAGAGCCATTGAGAGATCCACTTGAAAATGAGGTGAATAGGTATCTGTTGAAGATGACCGAGGATACAAATCTACCGTTTTCTGACATTGGATTATATAGGTTTTTGGATGGCGTTGATGAGTACGATGTGCGGAATCAATACCACTTGTGAGAATTGCGATAAGCTTGAAGAGGCGGAATGAGAGAATTCCTCCTCGGATGGCGAACGATGAAGAGATCTTGGTCGAGTCATCATGATCTCTACTGCAAGGTTGACTAATTGATCCAGCACCAAAAAAGTAAATTCACACCAATATTTGCACGTGTCATCCATTTACACTTTCTTCGGAAAAGTTTACTTTTGTACCTTCGTTCAATCAACCATCTGCGTAGACACGGTCCAACGTTCCTCTGTCATTCGTCTTTTCTGCCATCTCTAGTCATGGATTTCTCACAGCTCAACTCCGCTGAACAGGCCCATATGACCAAGATTATCGAAAAAAAACAGGTATTGGTTCGTCATGTGCACTTCAGCAGAGCCTGAATATTATACAGATGCAAGACTTCCTACGTCTATACTCAGGCCTCGTTGAAAGATGTTTTAGCTCATGCTGTAATGACTTCACGAGCAAGGCATTGTCTTCGAAAGAAGTGATAGCTCTTCATACCTATCTTCACACAGTTCGAGTTTAACCTTTGAGCAGGAGCAATGCGTTATGAATTGCGCAGACAAATTTTTGAAGCACTCCGAGCGGGTGGGACAGCGATTTGCCGAGTTGAATGCAGGTACGCTCCATCATTGTCCAAGTCAAAATATACCTATAATCGATCTTCAGAGGCTATGGGTCCCAAGCCATGAGAATAAAACCATGCAATCTAATTCGTGTGCTATGTCGATGCTATCAAGGTGCTATCATAATTTCATCTTTTTGCGTTTGATTAGCACAGCGACTTTGTCGCAATCGCCCCAAAATCCACCATGCTTGCTTGTTTATTATAATCGGACCTACTGACTTTGACCTGTGGCGCTGGTCCACGACTACCATCTATGTATCCACCAGGCACTTTATGGTTTCCTCGGCATTTGGTTTATCGTTTCGTCTAGATGTTGCGTTACTTCCTGTTATTTGCGTTAATGCGATGATAAGCGTTGTGAGAACGCTATTTCAGTCTCTCGTGCACACCCCAAGCCCTTGGTACAGTTTTTGTCCTATTGAGCCACTCCTGTTATCTGATGGAATTCTTGGCATTAAACCTACTCTCGCATCGCTGTATCACTCATGTCGACCTTTATTAGGCTCCTTCCTGATAGCGCATCGTTTGGTTCTTTTATGCCTTCTGATGTTCCGTCCGAGTCGGTCATTCACAACCTGGTGAATGATTTGTCTCGTAATGTTGGTATATATAATAACTCAGCAGGGACTGCACGGGGAGCGTGTGGTTGAGGAATGAGGCCGAGCCAATATGCTCTAGCCTCTTCTGCTCCAGTTACATCTGATCAAGATATCAGATACATGTAACTATGGACAGCAACTCATCTACATATTAATATGTAAGCACGGAGCGTCTTGATCCTGTGGAAGCAATTCGCGTCGACGCCATGTGCCCGCTTCACTCCCTCTTTACTTTGGGCTGGCGCATTTTCGAGAACTCGAACAATATGGAACGCTTAGCGCTGCCGCAACTGCGATTTCAGCCTGTCAAGTGATCTTCTCACAGTTCAACATCCTATAGTATGGCGTCCTCCTGCTCTTTCCACGGAATTGGGAAGTTGTTGGAATTCAGAATGCATCTCTCGATAATAAGCGCCGCTTCCGGAAGATGGACGAATTTGTGCGCAAGGTCTCACTCTCCAACGCGTTGTGCTTGACCTTCGCACAGACGCATTTGCACATGGTCAACTGTACACAGGTTTCTCCCGAGTGCGGAATCGTCGCGACATTCGGACTCGGACGTTGTTGTCAACGACAAATGAGGCAAAAAAAAATACACCAAATGTCGTTTACTCTTCGCTATGAATATGAACAGTATTTACTTCTCGGTCCGCAGGCGAGCGGATTTCCTGTTATTATTATGATACATAGATTGAGCGCCGCTCATATGGACACTATAGACTGTGGAAAGGACAAGCGTGAAAACCGAACAAGAGCGGGCTTGGCCTAAGGAGAGATTGTACAAATATGGACAATTGAATTAGCCACCAAGGTCTATATCAGGGGCTGCCTAAATTTGTCACTACGAACTTCGCACCGTGACTACCTCGGAACTCCACTCAGCACCCTTGAAGCTTGTTAGCCGTCCTTGTGCTCCCTCTGATTAATTGCAATGGCGCCTCATCCTCTTATCAATCAACCTGCGCCAGAGTTCTCCATCCCCGATGCGAACGGACACACGTTCAAATTCCCCCCTGAAGAACAGGGGGTGCGAGTGAAGAAGCCTATTGCGTTGTTCTTCTATCCCGAGGCAGGTGAGCACTTGCGCATTCGCATGCTCCGGCCCGAAATATTGTGATCATCCGTTTGCTGCACAGGAACGTTCGGTTGCATTCGCGAAGCTTGTCAATTTCGTGATGCATTGGTTGGTATGTACTCTCACATTCTTGCATAGATATGTACTATGTATTGAGCATGAATTTTTAGAGAAAGAGATCTTCAAGCGGACTGATGTTCAGGTCATCGGGATAAGTCCCGATCCTGTGCCAAAGCAGAAACAATTTGTTGAGAGTCAGAACCTTACAGTGAGTTATCTTAAGATTTTGAAGCGCCGTTACGGTCCAGCTGAATGTTGCGTGTACAGTATCCTGTCTTGAGCGACGAGAAGCACGTTGCCTACCAAGCTTTTCATGTCGGCAAGAGCCTTCTCGGATTCACCGACACCAGAACAACTTTTGTCATCGATAGTGAAGGCATAATCAGGTAAAGCCATGTACGCTCATCAGGCAGGATTCAAGTGTAACTGGTAATATATAGGGATTCGTTATCTGCAACCATGAATTACAGCGCCCACGTCAAATTTGTCATTAAGGCCTTGGGTAAACTTGAAGTGGACTCGTCTCAACATTCTGTTGAGTCTTCGTCAAAGACCCATGACGTGGAAGACGATGCTGTACGTTCTGATGACTCGTCATCATCACAAATTCCTGACGAACTGGGTCGGGTTGCATACGTGGTTGGTGCATGACGACTTCGTCCCGTATTCTTACCTTCATTGTACTGTGTTTGTTGTGTTTAAGCGCCCATTATATGCATCACGTGCAATAACTCCATAACATGTAATCGGTAACATACAGAGCTGGAATTCTGTGAGACCTGCAAAACCTGACATTTTACAGTAACTATGACTAGGCCCAGTTAATGAAGGACATGCCATTAGCAAAATCTGCGGAGGCCATATGTGCACCATCCGGGATCGGCTTGCCTTTTTGGTAAGCACGAACCATGTCTTTAAGTTGTTTTTGCTGCTTGCATGCTGCGATCACGGTGATTAACTCGCGCAAAACACGATATCAACTGTAACTCACTGGGCTTATGGGCTTTCCAATGACTCTTCTGGCATTCCTGGGTACAATAAACCGCCTGTACTGCTTGTCAGTGGCTGAGTCACGTCCTATTGGAGCTCTTACTTCTTTGCATGCGGCACATCGTTTGAACTGCGTAACATTCTGTTCGACAGCATCGCAGTTAACATTCGAACAACTTTTCAATAGTTCTTTCTTGGCATCCACATCGTTGTTTGCCCATTCCCATACCACCGGGTCCATCCACAGGTTCTGGGTCAGCCAAAGATAATCCTGAGCCTCTTCGGGACTATTGAATCCACGAGGGTTGTTATTAAGGCTGCCTAAAAATAATCAGTGAGAACTCAGGATAATATACAGTGTCAGGGCCATACGAGGCTTGTCTATTTTTGCTAGAATTTTGGTCAGAATAGTTGGATTGGCGTGAGCAGCCAACCGAAGGTATTGTCGAGCGACAGGGCAGTCGCCCCACAATCTGAAACAGGCCAAAGCTGCTGTGTGCAGCATCGATCCATCGGCACGTTTCAACAGCGCTTGTTCGTGCTCGGATGATAGGCAATCTGAGGTAGGTGTTTGAAATATGGTTCCACCTCGTGGAGGTGTCTGTCGCCGATTATGGGCCAACCACTGTTTTACGAACGACAAGGCATCGGCTGGTCGGCCTGCAGACAAGAGCATAGATCCGAGCCACGTTCGTTGTGACATGTTATCTCCCGGGCACAGACGCAGCATCTCAATCATAGTGTCCCTTCATTAATCGATGACGTATCAGAACCGACAAAGAGCGCACAAGGAAACACATACGAAGATTTGCCAAACTGGCTAGCTTCAAAGTAAAGTCGGACTTGAGCCTGTAGGACGCGCATATATGGACGCGTTTCGAGTATGCTATAAAATTTTCCAACTTCCTTGCTGCCATCATCGAAACAGGTTGCACCCAAACGCTGTTTCAAACCTTCTTTACCTGTCCAGAATAATTGATTGTTTTCAAAGCCAACAGTTCCATGAACAGACTCACCCTTGGCCTCCGCATTTTCCAATGCCTTCAGTGCTTCCGGCAGAGGAAACAGGAAAGCAGCCTGAACAAAAGCATCTAAATTGTTTCCATCCTCCATAGCCTTAAGAAGAAAGGGCAACGCTTTCGCTGGTTTCCTCCTGCGGCATAAATCTTCGGCTCTATCGAGACTGAAAGAGTCGCAGTTGGTTAGCAATTACATCAGATGCAAACATGATTCAGGTATCCACACTTGTTCTGAGCTTCTATGCTAACTGTGCCGCCGCCAACCCCGAGCTTGCTCTCCATTCCATGTCGTCGATTCATGAAGTTCTGCACAAAGTGGTTGGAGGTAGAGAGTGTATGCTGTACCACGTGCCGTACATAGCCCCCAGCTAGCTAGACGCGTTCAACGACGTAATGCGCCAAATGGCCCGGACACGTGCTTCCGTATATCGGCGAAATACAACTTCAAGCTTCAAGTAGTATATAGTACTGTCACATAACCATGCATCCTTAATGTTTTTCATTGTGTAAAGTAAGGCATGCGCAATTATCTGATTGCTACCTGCAAGACAAAGGTACCAAACAACTTGTGCCGATTAATTATTCTCAACGCCCAACTGGAACATTCAAACTTGAGTCAGGCCTCAACTTCCATGACTATGTATCGGACAAGGTGTTGTTTCTTTTCGTGTTCAGCCTGAGAGGGTCACGACTCACCACAAAGATTAATTCATCATGATCTCATGTAAAATACGACGGGATGAAAGGAATGACTAATAGTACTTGTCGTGCGATCGGCCGCTGGTTCAATCCAAGTGCATCGATTCAAACTATGCAGCAGCAGACCATGTGCTAGGGCACCGCCGCCGGCCACTGGTCCAATGTAAATGCTAGTGTGGAGAACACATCGAGGCCTGTGGTTTCCACTGGACGGCAAGGAAACTCTTTTTCCTGCAACACAACAAGGGTTTTTCCCCGGAAAATCGGCTGGCCAACGCATAAAATTCGAACGCTTCCACATTTCTCTGCGTCTTCCCTGACCTTCTAGGGTATGTATGTGGCATATCTGATAACCTGTACTGTAGTAACTGTACCCAACTTGGACAACGAACTCACGTACCAACATATCATCTCAAATGCGGAACCTGCGACCCGACCTCTCGGACCTTATATTCGTCACAATATCCCCCGACACAGCCCATAGAGCACCGTGTCTTGTTGTTTTGCAGCGGTATACAAATACAGGAAATTTCTCTCTTCTGATAGGTACTGGATACTTGAATGTGGCCCGGTAGAGGTCTCCGACTGCTCTCCATGATGTTCGGCCGTCAGGACCGAGGCTCCAAAATTAATGGCCTTCAAATAGGCGTCAAATAGGGGTAGTCATGTGTCACCGAAATATCACCGCGGCAGTGTGACAAGGAAAACGAGTCGCGTTCTGGCACGTTTGGAGGGTGTATGCACTATCTAAAAATGCAACGAGCTAAAGAAACTACTGAAGTTTTTAACAGGCGTCTACCAGAAATTTTGCGTTTCAGCATCACCGTAACAGCATTTCGGTAACGGGCCGTGAACTGTCATCTGAAAACTTGTCCAGACCTGGTGCATATCTGGTTTGAGTCTTGCTCTCCGAATCTCAGTCGCTGTTGTCACCATCGCTGCTGTTCAAGTCTGTGTCCCCTGGCGGTACCGTGATGTCATTGGTATCAGTGAACTGATGGGTTGTGCAGGAAGGCCTGGAATAATAGGCAAAAATCGGACAAACATACGACGTGTGTTCAAAGTGCTGGAGCAGTTCTGCGACTCGGGAGGCGCCAAATGGGCAAAATTTCAGCCAAACATCATGGAGAGCAGCCGGGGCCTCTCGGAAGCCAGTTTCTGACTCCGGTGACTCAAATGATTGGCGGACGAACCAGATGATACGCTAATCATTTGAGTTGCCGTCAAGAACTAATGCTATGTATCAGAGACTCAGAGGCATGCAAGGTCCGTGGACACGCCCGAGGCTAACGGGGCGTCACGTAAATCTGCCCAATCGTCGGGTTTGTCTAAGCGACACCCTAGCAAACCACAAAGTTCCTGCAGTTCGCCGTGTCACATGCTCACCACTGAACGTCTGATTCTCCGCTCTTATGTCGAGAGTGACCTCGACGACATCCTTCGCCTCTGGAACGATCCACTCGTCCAGCCTCTTGTTACCAACGATAATGTCACTCTTCTTGGTCCAAAGTTCAAGGAGACACTAAGAAATCAGATGGAGCGGGCAACCTTTGGTGCCATAATCGCGCTCAAGGAGACCGGGGAATTCATGGGCCAGGGATTGGTTGATGTCAACCAACCCAAGAATCGCGATGGCACATTTGGGATCTGTTTACTTCCAAAATTTTGGAATAATGGATATGGGACCGAGGCGACAAAGTTCATAATCGACCATTCGTTCAAGTGGTTCGGTTTGAACAGACTGTCCCTCGGAGTCTTTGCGAATAATGCACGAGCAATTGCTGTCTATGAGAAACTGTGAGTAACGTCGTTTCACCTCATTAACCCTTGTAATCACACCTGCGAATGATGGTCGATTAATGTTATTATCTTAAATCAGTGGGTTCGTCATGGAGGGCAGGAAGCGCCAGGCAGTGTGGATGGATAATCGGTGGGAAGATTCTTTGACAATGGGTATCTTGCGAGACGAATGGGAAAGGAACACTGAGAGAGAAGAATGACAGCGTTCGCACGTCCGCGTCAGGGAGTAGTGCCACCCGGGCCCATGTCCAAATCTTGTGTTTATCTATTCGTGTTCGTAAATACTCACCACTCATTTACGTCCAATTCCAATCCCAATGTATCACCAGTCTAGACCAAGCCAAGCCATTCAGCTTGTCATGAACGTCCGCTCCGTAAATCCGTTGACTTGGGTGGTCGATGTTTGTAGGCAGTGCACAAAAGATTCACATGCGTCGTAAAGAATGGTACTGACGAGTGTTCAAATCGCAATCAGATGACGGTAAAGTAAATGCCAAGACTACTGTATGTAGAGTATAGAACCGACTCCGAGGAGCCAAAAAAAATCATGCCACATCCGTAAAATAATCGGCCAAGCTCTCTTGTACCTCCTTTACTTTCCCAGCTACAGCACTCAAGACGTTGTCTTTGCACCATGGCATTCCATCTAGCATTCCCTGCGTAGGTATCTCTCGCTCCACAAGAGCCTTCGTCACACTCTCTGCAAGCATCAATTTGCCCACCACATCCGCGTATTGTATAAGCAGAACTTGACGGCCCATATCCAGTGTTGAGCGCCATAGTGCAGCCCAGGCTTGATTACACCGTGCTTGAGCACCCCCTGTGCATCGCGGACTATGTGAGATAACAGGTGGCTCGCTTGGCAGACGTTCCCATAGCCGGCCGAGAGCGTAATGCCCAGAAAGAAGGCGAATGCGCTGTGCTCGCGTGAGTAACGCGTCGTTATCCCAGACTTCTCGGCCTTGAAGCATCATGGCATGATAAGCGAAACCAAGCAGGGTGCGCAAGTTAAGCCGTTCTGCAACTCCAATAGCGAGTGCGATGTCCTTCCCAGATGCGAGAAGTCGTTTCCATCGCAGTGTGGCAGCGTCAAGAAGATCCCGTTGCTCACAAAGAGATGCTAATTCCGTAAGTTGCACAAGGCTGGGCCCCTCGACGTCGTCAACTTGAACGCTTGGAGAGTGCGTTGTGCGCGTGTATATAGTCGTAAGGGCACTAAGGGCCCATGCTTCGATCGAGCGGAATTCATACTTGTGCGTAATACGAGCGAGATTGAACAATTGAGACGTATTCGCTTTAGGCGTTAGCGCGAGAGTGAGCTCGGGCGGCCTGCGTGTTATTCACTCAGTACAACTGTGTCCGGGGAAAGAAGTCGTGCAAACGTACGTACAAGGCGTATAAAGCCCACAGAAGAGCGCGGAACTCCTGTGCTGTATCTCCTTGGAGCCTGATCGGATTGTCGTCGCTTTCACCTTCGGGTCCCGCAGTAACACTCGTACTGGAGCTTGAGCGTAGGTCCGAGTCTAAGGAGAACATACTGTCAAAGGTAGACTTGTCCTTTGTCAGTATCGACCTATGGACCTAAGAGTAATGGCTCGGCATTAGTAGGACACGGCTCAATGCACACAGCAACAAACCCTAAAGAGTGTGTTCTCCACGAGCAGAACGGTGTTTCCGTCAGGTATATAGTATGTTGGATCATGATGAGGTATGGAAAGCTGGAGCTGAAGCTTTGGAGTTGTTGGACTGACGTCTCCTGAGTGCATGAAGCTGGTTGTGAGATAAACTTCGGAAGGTAAATGCGCCATCAAACTATCGAATATATAGCAGAGGCTGTTGGCGTTGGTGGGAATGGTGAAAATACCGTTGGGCGGTAGTGGTCAAGGTCCAAGACAGATAAGATTACTTCAACCTTGTTCAAGAAAGGCAACCTCCTGTACTCAGATTGCACTGTAGTGTACGTATACGTACATGTGAAGTAGTGTATACGATAGTCTTAAATAGCGTTGTATATCTACAGCGTGATACGAAAATATATACAAGCCGGACCATCTGAACGCTTGCCGACAACCCTCTCAGGGCCAACTTGGAGGGATGCAAATGAATGCATGATGGCAGAACGAACCAAAATAAAGAAAATGATATGCAATTGCAGGTCCACAGCTAGGATAGCGAGCGTGTAAAATGCTAAAAGTTCGAGTGCGAGGGAGGAAAGGCAAGCGAAGGGTCTAGAGAGAAGAGTACATGGGAAGGCATAGCGTAGGCGTACATACAAGTCGTTGGAAGAGCTGCTTTTGAAGGACGTTTTCATACAAAGACGTGGTGGTGTGCAATGGAAGATGACTACGTTGACGAATACAGTATGCTATGTGTTGAAAAATCGAGAGTTGAGTAGAGGTCACGGCGTGGAGACATCATGACTCAAGGGCTTTAAGCTCTGCAACCAAGCGCTAAGGGATGCGGATTAACATGGGTCCAGGTCGGATAGTCAATGGAGACACACCTCTGCTTCTTTGGTGAGATAATCCTGATCTATCTCACCACTTTGAGCTTGCTGGCCCAGTTTAATGCCATACTCGAGCAGCTGCTTCATATAGTAGGGATTGATAACGGTCTCGTCTTGTGCTAGCTGGGGCTTCGCTGGCGGGACCTCAGCTACAGAAAATAAGGTCACCACAAACTTTAGATGAAGAACTCCATTTCTCACGTTCTTTCATCGCCAACCATTCCTGCTCAAGCAACTGAGGAATGGTTGCCCGCTCTTTCGAATTTCGCATCAAGCAGCTCTTGATGCCCTGAATGACGTCCGCTCTAACAGGTTGTTGCAAATGCTCGAGCTTTTTCCGTTCGCCTGCCTTGTTCACGACAGTGGGTATGCTGCAGCTCGGATACTCAATGACATGAGCTAAGTCCGGGATAGCCTTCATCTTTTGATATACAGAAAGATGTTGGAACGGCGGGTGACCATAAACCATCTGGTAGAGGATGCACCCGAGAGACCAGACGTCACTGGCTCGTCCAACTTTGAGTCGCCGCATGCCGTCGGGAAGTTCAATGGCTTCGGGGGACATGTAGTTAACAGTTCCGATCTAGATGAGAATGGGATCAATAATGAAGGATGTATATCTGAAGTAGAACTTGCCTGATGATCTCGCTGGATGTTAGTAGTATCATTTGCGATGGCATTCGCAATACCGAAATCAATAAGCTTCAGCTGGCCCCTCACAAGAACGAAGTTTGCGGGCTTTAAATCTGAGTGGACAATCTTCTCCTCGTGGATGACATGAACGGCTTGTAGCATCTGCTCGCTCACGTCAGCAACAGACATGAGCAATACGGTCGTGCTCTGACTGACCTGCTGCCAATAATACGATATCCAAACCATATTCATCGGTTCCTTCTGCTGCTCCTGCAGCAACTTTGCCAGATCAACCTCTCCACATTCCATCACGAGCATCAGATGACCTTTTGTTCCGCCAGGTCCTGCCTTCACCTCACTATCAAACAGCTGAATGATCCGATTGTTTCCCTCGAGACGCTTGAGCAGCCCAATCTCATTCATGTATCCGCTCATTGTCTCCGCGTCCGTCTTGTCCAGCGACACGCGCTTGATAGCATAGATCTCGTTGTTCGCGTTCATCACGCGATATACGCGAGATGAACCGCCTTTTCCAATCAGATCGAGCCGTGCATACACCTTCTTGTTTACAACAATGTTGTGATTCCGGACGGGAGCAGGCGCAGGCGCGGGTGGAGGAGGCGCCTGCCGCATTCGTGACGCAGTTTTGGCTTCAGGCTCGCTATCCACAGGCTCGTCCCCCGCCGCCCAGGTCTTCCCATTCTTCGATTTGCCAGAACCAGGAGGCGGCACTAACGACCCACTCGTAGTTGGTGGCTCGGGTGCTGTGGGATTTCGCCGGTGATACGCTTGTCCATGTCCCTGTAGTTGTGACGATGACACATTTCGTGCGGACGGAGACAGTCTGTCTGGGTTTCGATCCACCGCTGTGGGTGAGGATGCGGTGGACGGGTTATTAAGCGCAAAGGAGCGGACGGTGTCCGAGTCGCGCCGATGGTGTGTCTGGGTGCGCATATGCGCCTGAGACATATGTGTCGGAGAGGGCGACTGGCGGGGCTGTGGCTGGGGGAAAGGTTCAGGTGCCTCTTCCGCTGCGCGGCGGGCATATTCTGCTGCATACTCTGTGATTGTACGGTCAATGGGGAGGTACAAGCATGCATAGGGACACCAACGCACCGTCTTGCTCGGACGTCACGTGTCTGACGCGCGCTGAGTTGAGGCCCAAGCTGGACCCTGGGCGTGGGGCGTACTGCTGTTGGCTTGGGAGTAAGCGCGGAGATAGTCGGTCTTCTGTTGCGAAGGACAGTGTTAGATACCAGACAGTGGGTTTGTAAGGAGCCGGAAACATACCTCCAGAGGCATCACTCAAACTAGCTGAACGGCGAGGTCGTGTGCCACTCGATGCAGTAAGAGGAGCGACATGACTACGATGTGGAAGCATGCCATTCCCGGGTTGTGGTTCATCTGCGTCTACATAAATGGTTTGGATTATGAAATCAGGGAAGAGTGAGAGATACGCACTGGGATCAGTCTCATTGCATGCATAGTCGGGAGCAAACTCGTTCTCGCTGCCTTCATTTTCATTAATCTTGTCGAACCCACCTGAACCCACGCCATACTTGACACCCATACCCATCAATACCCGTCCCGCGCGATTGGGTCCAGGCATGATCTGCCGGCCAGGTTGTAGCGGCTGGCGTGCGCCTGTGGATGATCCGTATGCGCGTGTGGGGAGGCCAGAAATTGCCCGTCCGTCGAGTTGACTCACAGACGCCGAACGAGTGGTTAATCGTGGGGATGTTCGTTTGGAGTTGGCGCCGTCTGATGACAGGCCGTCCCCATCAGAAATGGTTATTAGATTTTCTTTCTCCTCCTGCACTCGCATATCCCACTCCTCTCGTACTCGCAGCTCCTCCCGTTCATCCAGCGTAAGTGGAAGTTGTTCACGATACTCGTCTCGAGGCACGCGTTGGGGACGCCCAATTTTCCGACCAGTCCCAGCAAGGCCACTCGATAATGGTGCACGTAATGCTGATTGAGAAGCAGCTGGCGTTAATGTGGCGGGTACGGACGCGACCCGTTGTAATGAACGAACGGAGTTGCCTGTGGCTAATGACTGAGCTCGGTGCAGAGCTGCAAGTGGCAGTGGCTCAACCCCACTCGCGCTTTGAAGTGACGGATAGGCGCTCTCCAACCGCGAGAGAGAGTTCCGTCGCGATGGTAGTGGAGAATTGAGTAAGATGGGTGAAGGAGGCTTAGTGTACGCATAGGAAATAGAGGTCCCCTGTGGCGGGGAAGACGAAGAAGGCTTTATAGCACCGTCGAGCAGAGCATCGTTTGGTGTAGGGGGGCTCGAATGATTAGACCTTGATAAACCTTTTGATACGCGGACATAATTGCCCGCGGAATCGAGCTCGTAGTCAAATGAGAGCTCGATAATAGATGACTCATCAGATGGCGAAGTTGATGTTCGACGACCCAGAATCTTTGGGTCATCAAATGCTATCATTGGTGGTGTTTGTGGTGGTGAGACACGTTGCTCGCGATGAGCGGGCGATATGATTGGTGGTGATGTTGAAGAGATCATCGATGTCGAAGAAAGCTAGCACGTCCAGGATATAAAATGAGCACCGACGAGAAGGGCGTCGTCGTCGGCGTCGGCGGCGGCGACAGTGTCGAACTTGAGGAAACGAAGGGATTAGGAAAGTCACACAACTCTTTGTAAAGACTTGAACCATGAACGAACACGAGGCAGATACGCGGTCACGTGCAAAGTGTTAATCAAATTGTAGACCGTGTTGGTCCATCGTGGACTTCTCCCTATAGTACGCGGGACCTTCATCGTCCTATTTTCCAACTTGCCCAATCAGCCATCAGTTCTCATCAGTTCACCTAAGGAGAGCCCCTAGAAGCTTCACAGGCTTTGTCAATGAATTAATAGTTCACTGTGCTGAGTCTTGATATGTCTTTTGTCAGCTTAGGCTAATACGAACCTACCCCACAGTTCAACTAGTAAACTGGTACGTCTGGGAGCTTGACACGGCCTGCCACTTAATCTACCAAACATATCAGTTTACAGCACCATATGCGCCGTCCTCAGTGGGGTCATTCAAATCATTTTTACTTACATGAGCTAGCTATTATCTGTGGAATTGTGAGTCCTACCAATAGTGACAAAGAAGAGACCCTATTAGTCCAATTTAACGCGGGTGCTTGTGACTCGGAGGAACTCCCGGGTAGTGAAGCCGCAACTCGGTCATAACCTTGATCAGATAGTCAGAGCCTGCCGCAATCAGATAGCAAGGTATAGGCATGACCAACCTCCAGACGTATAGGTGCGTCCAACCACATATACACTGGCACTGGCACATCGAGTCAACTCGTAGCAAAAACATGGCATATTCTCTCTCTTCTCCACCTCTCAAATCTCTTACTCCCGAATCGTTGACCCAGCTCAAAGAGTGCAGTGAAAAGGTTTTCTTCCAGATTATCAGCACGAACCTGAAGCGCAAGTCATACCAAACTTTAGAAGAGCTGAGCATCTTAATACACGCTGTTGACTTGCTCCACGGGGATGAGCAGGGATTTTGCGGAATTTTCGTGAGTTAGTTTCAGTCACCGTATATGATACCTATCAACCCTTCATGGCTCGTCCAACACACCCTGCCAGGAACCTGATGTTATTGACGTCTTTCACCTGGCTTCCCTGCCTCCATCGCAGTCTCTAGCGCGACCTCGGGCAAGGCACCCAAAGTTTTCGCGGAGTATAGAGGAATATTCTGGAGTGCGGCAGGCTCTCAGAGTCAGGCTATATGCACCTATCACTTATCATTCAGGGAGGTCTTGAACGTCTTCAAGATATCATTTAGACATCATCATCGCCCAGCGAGTGATGGGCTGTTGAGGATGCAAATGGGATGGAATCTGGAACAAGACGAAGACCGAATGTCGTCTGAAGGTGACTGTCAACTGAATTGATGATCGGTGCAATTGGACGCTAAAACTCGGATCTTAGCCCCAGGGTGTTCACGCATCTCATTTCTTCTCTCACACTTGCTGTTCGCGTTGGCCGACCGTGACAGTGTGGAGATTCTCAAAGTCCTTTTCTCGATAACATTGCTCGACATGTCTATGTACATCGACTGTGATTGATCTAGTCTTGTGGACGCGATCAATAACACCAGAACTGGAATATATCGAGCACGTCCGGGATCGCCTAAAAGTAAGCATAGTTTACAATCATGTGCTCAGTCAGATGTGTAGCGGCACCTGCGTGCGAACCCTGCCTGTGCAGCTGAGCTGCGTACTGTCGGTCCTCCTTCCAATATCACTACCACCGAATGGGTAAAATCCGTCTGGCCAAATCTGAAGAGTGCACTCAGCGCCAGAAGCAGCTCTTTCTCGTGGGCTGTTCCAAAAGTCAGTTCCAATTTCCAATTCATTCTCCGCCGAATCTTGGGTATGATGCTCATCAGTAATCACCAGATAAAGCATGTTCTCGCCCCTCATGTAATACTGCAAACACCAGGATATGGTAGTAGCGAATGCAAGCTTGCTGTCATGAATCTGCGTGGAGACCTCAACTGATTCAAAATTTCATTGAACGATGCATTCATTGAGTACCTCGACGTGGATGCAGAGGATGTCTCCAACAAGCTATGCGGTCCTTTTTGTCCAGTTTCGTTGAGCAGTAGGCCTACTCCACACTAGTGGGGGACTATGAGATTGTCCTGCTTACAACGGATTGTGGCGGTACACACTTGGTGATGTAATTGAGCTTGCTCCGGACGATGGTTCTCCCGCAGTGAGATTTGCACGGCGGAAGTATGTCACGGAATGTCTTCCAGCGCCGATTGAGCTGATTGGACATTACAGTGTGGCGATAAAATTTGATACTACATGCTCGACTACTCCGATCAATATCTTTTGCAACTCAAGGCACAATCGGTTAAGTTATAGAGTTCACTTGTTTCAAGGATGGGCCCGGGAATGTTGGATTATTTGTAGAACTAGCAAACAAATCAGGTAAGCCGTTGAGATTGACATCATTTTGCAGGGCCTCACTAACTATGGGCACTTCACTACACTTGCGAAGCAGCGACTTGCTTGATGTCCTGTCAAGTGCGAACGAAATATTCGGTGCGCCTATGATGACGTGGTGCCCACGATACGCGTGGTCAAGCCAGGCACATTCGCTCAAATAGAAGGTCGAACTCGCTGCGATTGGTACAAGTCAAGAAAAAGTGCCTGTAGTGATGTCCGACACCACCGCTCAGGCTTCAGGAGTGGATCATGCACTCAAGTCGGGTGCACACAGGTGTCAACGCGAATTATTTCCGCGGGATCAAACGCTCCGTGCTTACAGTATGTAGACACACCCCGTGCGAACGGATTGCTTGTACATCAATATTCCACAAAATCACACCTGAGCATCAGCGAAATGATCACTTATAAGTTATAAAGTATACTTGAACGCATCTATAAACCGGCATGCGAGATGACTATCAGTGTATCGCGATCTGATCTCCGAGAGCCATCGTGTTGTTCAAGCGCGCTTCAAGCAACCGCCCCAAGTACATAATAGCGAGAGGTAGGCGAAAGCCACACAGATACTTCAGAAAGAAGCAAGTCAGATCGGGATTTGTCGATTTGAGCAGTGCATGGCACGTGAAGCACATACAGGCATACATCTGGAAATCAATCATCAACTTCCTCCCATTCCGATTCTGAACCCTCGTGTTCCTCTTCAATATCTGCTAGTGACTCGTATTCATCGTCACTAGCCTCAAAGAAATCAAATTCCTCCACATTATCCTTCAGCCATTGTATATCTTGATCCGTGATTTCGTCGTTCTCCTCCATATACACAGCCTTCAGAGGGACACCTGCTTCCTTTCGCCTCTGCACCAACTCACGTATTTGGTGTCCAGGGACGTCGGCAAGTCGATAAAGTGGTAAGTGAAGGGAGACAGACGTGACAAACGTCTCGCTGGCCAGGAAGAGAACAAGGGTGATAAAGTAACTGAAGGAACGCAGGAGGGAGGTACGTCATCGCTAGGTTGAGTGACTTGAGGTTGCCAAGCTCTGCGTACACGAGCTCTATGCTGCGGTCTGAGCAGGGAAAACCGGATATTTTGAGGGTGTCAAGTCCGCTGAGTAAACTGCGTTTCTTCTCTCCATCCTTTGATACCACCGGGACTGCGGTCATCACAGGACCAGCAAGTTGGAGTGCGAGATCCGTAAAATCCCCGTCGTCCAAATCAAGTGTGAGACTTTTGAGTGCGGGAAATGCCAGGCGGCGGAGCAACCCACTAACATAGACTGGTGAATGGAATGCCAGGACAAGATGCGTCAGTGAGTGCAGCTCGATGACTCCGGTATAGTCGTCCCCATAGCCTCCTGAACTTCCTTCGGGATACCAGTCATGGGGAGCACCGAGGGGACCAGAGCTGCATAAAGAGAGTGTTTCCAGCTTGGGTGCACCGCAAAGTATGGCAGCGAATTGTTTCCATGCCGGTCGCACATCGTCTGTATGATAAGCAAGCTCCACGTCCAAGAGATTGGACCCGCAAGATAGCCATTCTTGGCACCAGTCGACATGCACACCCCACAACGCTACGCTCTTGAGACGCGGAGCAACGCCTCCGAACAACTTGAAATGTTGCACGAGGTCAGGTTGGGCGAAAGCTGTGAGGCTTTCTGCGTCTTCATGGTGGTACAATTGGAGAGCCTCGAGCTGAGGAGCACCTGCTATGGAAGGATCTGAAACTGCAGAGAGGAAAACAAACATGTGCTTGTAACAAGCGACCGCCACTTCGATAGATCCCCAGCGTGATATATGTGGAACAAGAAGGGACATGAGATTATCGAGATCGGAAAAGGTCATCGAACGTGGGGACTGACCAAGCTCTGAGTCTTCAGAGCCCGAGGAATCCTCTTCTTCTTCTTCGTCATCTGGAGGTTCGCAGTCTATGCGTATATCGATAGGGAGGCTCTTGCTACGCCCAAGCAAAATCTGAACTCGTTCAAATGGGGGTGAATCGAGAGGGGACACGTTGATCTCCGTCCAGAGAGACGGCGTGTTAAGGGCCACCATACGCCAATGGTGACAGACATGCGAGATGAGTACCTCAAATGGTGGGACGAGTTCGAATGTCGCATCGCTGTCCATTGATGGTTCGGATAAACCATCCTCATCTACATCATCGTTACTTGTCGCTCTGATCCGTTTTAAGTCTGCTGTTTCGGTGTCTTCGTCTACTCCGTCTTTCGCGCCCACTTCCAAATTCCAATACACCGCCATTGCCTCGTCCTCATCGTCCTCATCCTCTCCATCCTCAATAGATTGGGCACCAACCTCGAAAATGAGAGAAAGGAGCTCCGGAGGGATGTCATTGACAGGACAACGTGTGCCCTTTGGTGGAACGAAAGGGTTGTCTTTTGTTAAAATGTTGGAGCATTCCATTCTTTACATGATGACCAATTAGCTTGTGGTGCTTGATTTTGAAGAAGAACGCACTTGACAAATTCCGGTTCGACGTTGGACTGCTAGAGAAACGAAAGAAGATGATCAGAAAGATCTGCCCTGATAACTTGATATGCCAAATATGGTAAGTCAGCGCCCTGTCTTACGCGTCCCATTAAGCTCAACGTTAACAGTCACTGCTACATACCTCCTGCACTGTGGAATCATGTCTGATTCTGAAATGTCTGCTCCAGTCAAGGTCTATGTTTATGACCTCAGCAAGGGTCTCGCCGGCCAGCTCTCCTTGCAGCTCACCGGTAAGCAAATAGATGGCGTCTGGTTAGTATCATTTGGCATTGACAATCAAGATTCATGTGCTCACTGATCACTATATGAACAGGCATACATCAGTAGTAGCCTTCGAGAAGGAAATCTTCTATGGACCAGGCATCTGTGAAACCGAGCCGGGTCGGTCCCATGTAAGCTGCTAGGGTCACGGTTTGGTTTTATCACTTTAACACAGTGAGCCACAGCACGGATCGCCTCTGAGGATAATTGATATGGGCGACACATCTATAGACGAGCAGACGTTTGTTGAATATCTCGGCCAGATAAAGGAGTATTACACTGCAGACAAAGTAAGTGTTTACTCTGACGCGAAGTACTTGTCCTGCTCACCGAACTCAGTACCATCTAGTTAGGTGAGACTGCGGCCCAGGGGAGCATCATGAATCACTGACTGACGTTTGAAAAGATTTCAACTGCAACTCGTTTACTAACGATTGCCTCGGCTTTTTGACTGGTGGCTCGCTTCCATCGTATATCAAGGGTATTAATCTTTAATTGTCTCCTTCAGTTGAATATCATTCTAAGAACACTCTTGCAGATCTGCCATCCGATTTTCTTTCGACACCATTTGGTGCTGCCTTACGACCAACTATCGATGCCATGTTTAAAGGCAGGGCTTCTACCGGCGTCCTAACCCCTCCCCCAGATATCTCAACCACGACTGATTCACCCAATCCGGCATTGGCGTCGTCTCTGCTGCAGACTGTAGCGTCCGGTGCAACATCCAATAGCTCTGGAGCGCCGTCCTCATCCAGGAGCTACCTGCCGACACCTGCACCAACCTCGCCTCCTACACCGGTTCAGAGCAACAGCCTCACTGCACCTGTGCACATTGCTACAAACCCCTCGTCTTTCCACAACGTGCTTCACGCACACCGGGCTGTGATTGCGTTCTTCACGAGTGCAACATGTGGGCCTTGTAGGATGATCGAGCCTGTGTTCGAAGACCTTGCAAGGAGCAAGAGCCGAGCCAATGATGTCGCGTTTGTTAAGATAGATTTGAGCGTCGGAATGAGCAATGCGGTGGGCGGCGAGTATGGTGTGAGAGTGACACCGACGTTCATTCTATTCTTGGACGGGAATAAAGTAGGAGGAGAACACATGACGTTCTCGCAATAACTGACGCGCTTCCGTAGACACATGAAATGAAGGGTGTCAATGCACCCGAATTGCGCACACAAGTCGACCTACTCCTTTACCAAGCGTTTCCCCGTGAGCGTATTGTCTTCCTTTTCTTATGACAACGAACTGATGCGGCGACGGCGATCAGCACACCCACACACTACGTTATCCCTTCCCGCGATCGAAGCCATACCCCTTAATGCCATCCTGTTCTCTCAAGTTCCGAATCTCGATACTGTGCTTGCGAAAGTGACGGGGTTCATAGATGCCGCTCCTTCATGGTCTGGCTCCACTACGAAAGAAGCCACGAAGCAAACTCTCGTGAATAATATCATTCCGTACCTCAAAGTACGAGGGTCTTCATCACCCCCTAACATTTCTTTCGAGCCTTGGAAAGACGCGACGACAAGCCTTGTGGCGAATCTTTCTGCAGGTGAATTATTCCCTGTGGCAGATATGTGGCGTGTTGCACTGCTCGAACCAGCCGTGTGCGGTTGGAGTGCAACGAAACTCGGTCCTGAAAGCCCAATCCTGGTCTTGTTATCCAAGGCCGAAGGCGCGCCAAGGAGTTATACCCTCACGCTTTTAAGGATGATTTCAAATGCGTTTTCGAACAAGGTTATAGCACGAGAACTTCTTCTTTCATCTCGAAGTAGCATTACAGCGCTAGTAGTGGCTGCCTTGTTGCATGACGATGCAACTGTACGGTTGGCAGCGGCCAGCCTGGCATTCAACATGGTTGCACACCTTCAGAGACTGAGAGTAGAGAAGGTGCGGGGGAATGTTGAAGGAGACGATGTGGGCGAGAATGAAGACTGGGATGTTGAGATAACGAGTGCACTTCTGGAAGTTATAGAGCGCGAGAAGGCGAACGAGGAAATTGGTACGCCCTCGATACAATCTAGCCTCATACCAGTGCTTGATTATTGCATTTTCTGTGACAGTTCACCGTCTGACAGCGTCACTGGCATTGTTGATCCGACTATCTCCGTCCATTGAACAGCTCACTTCCTTGTTAGAGGTTCTGCAAGCTCAGAAAATACTCAAGGATAAGTTGGAGAGAGGCGGATGCGGGGAAGCGGGGGTTGTAAAGATGGAGGCCCGCAAGCTAATTGAGGAGGTTGCTGAGAAGCTTTGTCGTTGATCGTGGAGTATTTTCTCCTCTCTGTACTGTGCATTGCTATCATGTGTACACGTCTCATCTAGGAATATATAATTATATAGGTGCCTTCCAGGATCTATATAGTCAGGGACTATTTGAGGTTGTACATTTCCGAAGGTTGAACTAGAATGAGTGCCCGCTAAAGCGGGCGGCACCTTTGAATATCACGAGCACATGAATAACCGGAAAGCCGACGGAAGTTGCACAAAAAGTTGACTGCGACAACACTGATGGACCTTGCGATTTCCTTCTGTTCTTCATCTGCTGGATCACTCCTAGACGCAATTTCAACTGATACCATCTAATCAATCATTGGACTCTAGAGGCGCTAGCAAATTATCCTCTCTATCTCCACTTCTTATAAGCATCTGAACAGGCAGTGGATGCCTGAAGGACAAGCATCCTTCCATCCGTTGTCGCTCACACATCACCCGTTATTTCGAGTCCATGCTGAAGTTCTCGAGCAGATTAGCCCCTCGTTCATCGCGTTCACCGGTACGTAATTTGCCGGTTAGTCACGCATTTGACGTTAACTACTTTTCTAGCTCGTGTCCCAAATGGCCACCAAGCGCAATTTCAAGTCCTCAGCCCAGAAGAAGTCTGATGTTCCAAAGGGATATGTTGTTGATCCTACTGCAGGGAACATGTTGCGGTTCCAGGCTTCACTTCCTCGGCTTCCCGTTCCGGCGTTGTCCTCAACTGTGCACAAGTACCTTGAGACCATTCGGCCTCTTCTGACAGATGCCGAGTATACCAAGTCTCAGGCTACTGCCCAAGAGTTTCTCAAATCGTCTCAGGCTGCTGAGCTTCAGAAACGCCTAGAAGCCCGTGCCGCAGATCCGTCCATCAAGAATTGGCTAGCGGACTGGTGGAATGATGCAGCATACATGGGCTACCGCGATCCTGTCGTGGTCTATGTCAGCTACTTCTACGTACATCTTGATGATCCACGCAGACGTGACCCGGCAAAGAGGGCTGCTAGTCTGGTTAAGGCCATGCTGCCCTTCAGAGACATCACAGAGTCGTCAGTGTCTCGCATGTCCTTGTCCTTGTTTTGTTACTCATGCCAAGACTGAGCAGGAAACAATTGGAACCTGAAAAGGTTCGTGGGATGCCATTATGCATGGATTCGTATAAATGGCTGTAAGCGTTCATTCCGTAACCCATGTTTTCGAATTAAATCCTCGCAGCTTCCATGCATGCCGATACCCCACTAAGCCATCCGACACTGCCAAGAAGTTTGATCCAACGGCACATAATCACGTCGTGTTTGTGAGGAAGAACAAGTTTTACGAAGTCCTGCTCGCAACCCCTGAAGGACATGAACTAAGTGAGGCTGAGCTAGAAGTGTGCGTGTTGCACATTAATTACTCTGAATTCATTGAACTTAACGTACCTTGGGAACGTAGGCAAGTGGAACGGGTCATCAAGATGGCAGGAGAGGAGCCGGGCGCTCCGGTCGGCGCGCTGACAGCGGAGAACCGAGATATTTGGACTGATGTAAGTACTTGGCAGATCAGTTCAGCCGCCATTTCAATTCCCTCATCATACCTTTATCCGTTCAGGCACGTTCTGCACTGATCGCAAGTTCACCAGTAAACCAGAAATCTCTCGAACGGATAGAGTCCTCCGCAATCATCGTCTGCCTTGACGACACTGCGCCCGTCTTGCGCGAAGATATTTCTTGGTCTTGCTGGGTCGGAGACGGCCGGAACCGTTTCTATGACAAGCACCAATGTATGTGGCTATTGGCTCTCACAATTGTCTGCCAGGATGTGCTAAACTCATGTCAGTGCTCGTCTTTGATAATGGGCGATCGGGTTTCCTTGGGGAGCATTCGTGCATGGATGGCACACCCACCCTTCGCCTGAATGAATTCATTCTTGCTTCTCTTGCACACAACAAGGTCGATCTTGGTGCGCCTAGGTCTAGCTCGACTGGGGCCAATCTTCCGCAACCCGCAGAGCTGAAATTTGAACTTGACGCCACATGCAAGAAATACATTAACGAGGCATGCCAACATTTTGACGAGCTCGTGGGTCAGCATGACATGCAGGTGAGTGCAGGGTCCAGTGAGATCTATCAGGGCTTTAGATAATCAAATTGCCGCCGTCCCTAGGTGCTCCACTACGAAGGCTATGGGAAAGACCTTATGAAGAAGTTCAAGGCTTCCCCTGATGCATGGGCTCAGCTTGTGAAACAGCTTGCTTTCCATAAGATGTTTAATCGGCCTGGTGTGACATATGAAAGCTGTCAGACGCGCAAATACCAGCATGGCCGCACGGAGGTCATCCGTAGTGCCAGCTCGGAAAGCAAGGAATGGGCCGAAGCCATGCTTAATCCAGCAGAATCTGTAGGTCTTCATGCGGAGATCGCGTAACACTTTCCCATTCCAATCAGAGGCTAAATGAAATGCTGTGATTCGCATCTAGGATGAACGCCG